CCCCTACCATCTCTATTTCTCTTCCTCTCAAAGTAATACATCATGATTTCGGCTAAAATAATAATATTGACATTATTACTCTTGTAAATATTATTCAATGACAAGGGAAGTTGTAATTATGATTATGTTTCCTTTCCTCTCTTGAGCTTTCTAAAAAATTTTCCTGATATATTTTTTAACTGTTTATTTTCCATCACCCTTATTTCCATCATCTGCTTAAACGTCTGTGGAAGAACAGCCTGAGACTATTGGTCATTTCTAGCCATTCAGGGGCCCGGGCAGTGGGAACCACAGGCCACGGCAGGCTGAGCTCTCCAGGCCCCAGTAGGGACCTGCCGCATAGGCAGAGGGCGCTGGCTCACCTCCAGGCCAGTCTCTGACCTCAGGTGGAATGCCGGTAAACTTGGGACCTGGAGCAGTCCACTTATGCTGCAATTCCTCCCCGGCCATGGTCTTTTCATCAGCAGTGCGATTATCAGTCTCTTTTCAATCCCTTCAGGATTTCTGTTGACATAAAGATCAGGCATGATCTCCCATGGGTGCTCACAGGAGACGGTGCCATGTATGCACCGAACTCCAGGGCCAGCACCCGCCACGTCAGACCCGCTGAGTGAGCTCCTTGTTGTTGTAAGGGAAGGCAGCGTCCGCACAGCACGGAGGACAGTCTGTGTTTCACAGAGCAGGGTCGACAGGTTACCATAGACATGTCTCTGAGAGGCTGGCAGTCAACCCTGGGAGGGGTATCCGACTCCCAGAAAACAACCTGGATCTACTCGGTGAGGGTTACAGGAATGAGGCAGCCAGTGATAAGAGTGGCCCCAGTGGCTGCAGCACACTTTAGCCCAGCTTGCTGGCCAGGATTCCTGGAGGATGTGATATGACATCAGCCAGGTTTTCAAAGGCAACAATGGCACGAGCTGCCAGCAGAAGCTTCTCCCAGGTTCTCTTCAGATTTACGATGTAGGTATCACTTTTCCTTCTGTGGATGTACTTTCCATCTTGACGTCAAGATTGCTGCCATGTAAGTTGTATTGCCACAGGAATTTGAGGACATCTCCTCCTTTCGTGGAACATCAAGGGCTCCAGACATTGTAGAAGTTTCTGTTTAGGTTAGGCCAGGAACTCAGAACAACACAATACGGACCTCTTTCTAGGCAGCAAGGAAAGGGTGGCCTTTCTTTTTAAAAATATTTGGTTTCTGGGGTCACCTGGGTGGCTCTGTCGGTTAAGCCTCTGACTTTGGTTCAGGCTATGATTTCACAATTTGTGAGTTCAAGCCCCACATTGGGCTCTCTCACTTTGCATTGAATTCTGAGATGGGGCACCTGAGATGAGCTACCCAGTGGAGAGCATCCTCACACACTGCAGACAGAAAGGGCTTCTAACAGATCCCACTGAGGCCACACTGCAGGGATCTTCCGTGCACAGCAATGAGACAGAGTCCTGTCCTCTCCAACAAGGTCCAGACCTCAGCCCCGAATGGCGGTGAGGAGCCCTTCCTTGGCCACTCAATTTCAGTGCTAGGATTGGTGGCTGCTCCCCAGATCTACTGCCTCTATGTGGTAGGAGTCCTCTTTGACTCTTACTTGCCAACCTCACTCCTAATTCCATTAACAATCCTTTACAGTAAACGTTCTCGTTCAGATTACTTGGTTTCTTCCCCTTGAATAAGCCCTGACTGAAACACGCCCTCATTTAGTCTTAGTGCTAGACATAATGAAAGGTTGAATGCTCACCACTGTCCTTCTGTCATTGTTAGTCAGTTTGATGCTGAGTTTCATTCTCTAGATTCGTCAGGAAGAACTCAAATGAATGACATTCTTGGAGTTCCTCCATTATGATAACAAATTAGCCTATGTTTTTGTACTTGAAAGTCAGTTTTGGTGGATACAAAGTCCTAAGTTCTCATTCTTTTTTTTTTTTTTTTTTTTAGAAAGAGTGAGCTAGAATGAGTGCAGGAGACGGGCAGAGGGAGAGAGAGAATCCTAAGCAGGCTCAGTAGGGCCAATCCCACGACCCTAGGATCATGACCTGAGCTGAAATCAGGAGTCGGATACCCAACTGACTGAGCTATCCAGGTATCCCTCTCATTTTCTTTCTTTGAACATTTTAAATGCTTCACTATTTTCTTCTTGCATGAAGTGTTACTGTTGAAGTCCTATGATAATCTGGTTTTTTTCTCTCAGGAATGTTGGCCTAAATGACCAAAATATAAAGTCGAGTAATTTTTACTAGAATGTATTTTGTTATTCAGTGTTTTCACAGTATATTCTTTCAACATGAGGTTTTAAATATATATATGGATATACATATTAATACATTAATATAATACATATTGACTACATATAAGTACAAAAATCTATTTCTATTTTAGGAAAAGTTCTCTTGAATTATCATGTTGTATTCTTTTAACAAACTGTTCTTTATCAGGGCTTCTTTATCCATATATTGGATCTTCTTTGCCAATCTTCAATGTTTATCATTTCTGTAAAATAATTTTTCTCTAAATTTCTTTTTTACTTAAAAAAAAAATCTCATTTCCCAATTCTCATTCTCTTTGGACACTATCTGTAGTGTTTGTTTACTCCTGGGTTCCTCCTAGTTTAATAATTTTTTTAAAATGTTTATTTTTGAGAGAGAAAGAACATGAGCAGGGAAGGAATGGGTCGGGGGGTGGGGGGGAGAGCAGAGGATCTGAAGCGGGCTCTGTGCTGACAAGAGTGAGCCCAACGTGGGGCTCGAACTCACAGACTGTGAGATCATGACCTGAGCCAAAGTCAGACACTTAACCGACTGAGCTACTCAGGCTCCCCTCCTCCTAGTTTAGTATTCTCTTCAGAAATATTTTTTTCTTTTATTCCTAATTCTTCCCCAAGTTCTATTAGTTCATTTCTGAGTTCTTCTTTCTCTGATTTATTTTGCTCTTTTGTTTCTTATATCATTTTAACATCTTTAGTTTTGACGTGATTTCTTTTTTTTTTTTTTTTTTTTTTTTTTTTTTTTTTTTTTTTGCACTGATATTGTGCAAGTTTTGCATTTGTGGTTTGACATCATCCTCTTGTATTTTGGGGTTGGTGGTGTTACCTGTCAATTAGTTTTGTTGTAAATGTTTCATACATTTTTGGTTTTACTAACTAGTCTGTTTCTTTGTGGGGAGTTCCAGAGATTCAGAAGTCACATACTGCCGTATTTCCAGGATCCATTTACATTTTGAGTCATGAATACTTCTCTTTCTATATTCCTGAGGCTTCACTCCTTAGCTGGGTGTGACGGTAAAGGGCTAGGGCTAATCAGCACGCTGCTTGGAGCGGCAGTGGCGTGTCACATCACGTCTTCATTTTTGAGTGACTACTTGCTTGTAACTTTCTAGGTTGTCCGTAGCTTCTCTGCAGTACTGAATATATTCTGTTCTCCTCAGCATTGATTTTTACTTGTGAAAACTTGGCTTCCAGTCTCAATGTTGTTTCTTTGTCAGTAGTTTAAGTTTTGATTGCTATTAAGATTGTTAAAATGTTCTCTTTGCTTAACTTCATCATGATGTGTATGTTATTTTCTCAAGACTGGGTTTTTCTTTCAATCTAAAGAGTAATAATCTGTCCTCAGTTCTAGAAAATTTGGGGGCCATTATTTTAATTTTGCCTCTGTTCTCTCTCGTGGGCTGCCTATTAGATGTCCGGTTGAACGTTTTCACTTTATGTAGAACCTCTGAACTTGTTAATTTGCATAGGCAAAAAAAAAAAAGTTATTTTTTGTTCAAGCCAGTTAGAATTCAGGCTTAAGTCACTGAAACAGAAACACTCTTACTTTCCTCAAAAGGCAAGTGAGAAAAGAAACTGAAAAAGAGGTGACTCCGGAAGTAATTACCTTGAAACCTAAACTACTCCTGAACTTTTAGGTCAGTAAATTCACTTATCTTTTTCTCTCTTAAATCAATTACAGTTGGATTTCTGACAACTGCAGCCAAGAGTCCTGATTAACATAAATGTTTACTATGTGGGTGGCACTCTACCAGGTGCTACATAATCAACGATATTCAAAACAAAGTCCATGTCGCCAATCACGACAATATTTCACACTCATTCAATACCATATTCACATATATATACACATACAGAGAGAGAGAGAGAAAGAGAGAAGAAAGAAAGAGGAAGGGGAAATCATGCCTGGGCCAGGGTATTCAGAAAAGGCTCCAAAGCCCTGGGAAACGAACGGGTCTTGCCGTAGCGGAAAATAAAGGAACAGGCATCAAGGTTAACACAAGGCAGCTTTGCTAGAGTCTACAGCAGTGGAAGTAAGATTTTACGGACACAAATTAGCTCCAGGATAAGGACAGGGTCTAGATCTTAAATCAACATAATCCCCCCTCCCTTCTTTTATACACTGAAAATCTCTGCAGCTGAGCCATACTATCTTCAGTTTAATTTGGTTATTAATTTCTTATCCTCTTAAGGGCATATGTCTTTTGTCACTCCCTCGAGTACAAATGGCCAGCGACAAATTCACTGGAATGAATGCAGGCGGAAATAAGCAACAAGCCCAGGGCCTGGAGACCCAAACTGTCGCGGTTCGCTAATAGGGAGCTGGGACTGCTCTTGGAAATCTCTTCTTCCACCAGCAGTGTCTCCAGGGACAGCCTGAGTCCACTTCCCAGGGGATGATGTGGGGAAGCCACAGGCCTTAGGTTTCATGAAGAACGTGAAAGGTGGCGGGGGAGCGGGCAGCTCGAGCCCCACAACCGGCGAACCAAGGGCCCCCGGCGTCCGAGTCCCCCGACGTCCACCGCCCCCGCCAGGAGCACGCAGCCCCTCTTCCGCTCCGCCCCCCTCCGCCTGCCCCGCCCCGCGGCCGGCGACGCTGGGGGGGAGGCGGGGTTTCCGCTTCCGGTGGCGAATTGTTGACGCCTGCGGCTGCTGCGGTGGCGACCGGGCCGTTGGGGAGGGGCTAGTGGGGGAGGGAGACGGCGCAGTGACAGGACCGCCGAGGGTGCTGCTGAGGCGACGATGGCAGAGGGGCCGGAGGAAGCCCGAGGCCGCCCTCCCGGGCAGGACGACGGCGGAGGGGACCCCGAGCCCGTCCCTTCCCTGAGAGGCCCTCCTGCCGCCGCCGCCCCACGCCCCCGGGACGGGCCGCAGGCCGAACCACAGGCCCCGGGCCGGCCCCCAGCCCCGGGCCTCGCGCTAGCTGCGGCCGCCGCCGAGGAGTCGGAGCCGCCGCGCGAGCCCGGGAAGTGCGGGGAGGCGGCCCCCGGCTCCAGTGCGGGGCCGCAGGAGCCGGCAGGCCGCGAGGCGCCCGAGGCCGGCGCGCCGCGAGAGAGGCCGGCGCGGCTGAGCGCCCGCGAGTACTCCCGGCAGGTGCACGAGTGGCTGTGGCAGTCCTACTGCGGCTACCTCACCTGGCACAGCGGCCTGGCCGCCTTCCCCGCCTACTGCAGCTCCCAGCCGCCCCCGCCGAGCTACCCCTCGGGCGGAGGCGCCGCCGCCCCCCAGACCTCGGCGCCGCCGCCCCCCCAGCTGGGCTATTACAACCCCTTCTACTTCCTGAGCGCCGCGGCCGCCGGGCCCGACCCGGGGGTGGCCACCGGCGTCACCACCGCTGCTCCCGTCGCGGGCCTGGGACCCCGGGCCCCGCAAGGGCAGGGATCCGTCCGCTCAACCCCAGTGACCAGAGTGGGATCGGCCGCTCCTTCGCGAACCCCGAGCGAGACCGGGCGGCAAGCAGGTGAGTAGCGCGTCGGGAAGGTTGGGCGGAGCGAAGGGGTCTTACGGGAGCTCGCTGGTGGGGAGAGAGGGCACGCGTTTTACATCTGGAACTGGTGTTTCTCCACGTTCGTCAGCTGTCTTCTGCCCAGGCCTCAAATTCCCAAAGTGTGGCGCGAAGCTGCAGTTTGTTCTTCCTTTAGACCTGGCTCTCCGAATTGATTCCTTATTCCACGTGTAAGGACGTCTTTGCTCCTGAAACCGTGCCCTTGATCTCCACGACGTGGAGAGAGCCAAAGCTTAATTGTCAGATGGCAAACCCGTTTTGACGGCTGGTGGCGGTTGGAGGGTGCCGGTAGTGCTGGAAAAAATCCAGACGTGGATTTATTATGCATGACAGGATATATGATATATAATCTTTTCTATAATGTGTAATTTATATAATTATATATTACCTATATGAAGAACAGTGGGGCCGACGGATATAAAAGATTTACATAAATATAAGTGGAATTATGAACCTTTGGGACCTAGCTGAATGATCTTGTATATTGTCTGTTTACTTCTCTATGGGAATTAGAATGTTTTGCATTAGTTACGCGGCTTAGTTTATTATTTAGACTTTTTGTTTACTTTATTCAGCCACAGATACAAGGGACAAAAACTAGTTTTTCTGAATTTGATCCCGCTCAGAATTTGAGATGTCAGATTGATAATCATTGGATTTATTACATAGAAAGCAAGACAAAGTGAATAGGGGGTAAAATGAGGAACACGGGTATTTACTTTCTAGTAATCGTCTATACTTAACCTTGGTTTTTACAAAAAATGTTTAATTTGGGGGCGCCTGGGTGGCCCAGTCAGTTAGCTTCCAACTCGATCTCAGCCTGAGTTCAATCCCCCCAACCCCTCTTTGGGATCAGCCTTGGGTATGAAGCCTACTTAAAAAAAAAAAAAAAAAAAGTTTAATTTTGTGACCTAGGCTTGTGATCACCTGGATTCTCATTCGAGTCCCTAGTGAAATGTATTGAGTACCTTAAATAATTAAATTTATCTGTGAAATCATTTTTTAAACATTAAGAGGATGAAAGCAAACTTTTAAACTGTTCAGTAAATAGTGGAATAGAGTTGCTGTAAAAACATGTACTATTCATGTAGGCAATGCCAATAATTGTCGCAAGGTTTTAATTAGCAAGTTGTACCTTGACTTTATGTTCTCTGATTTATTACTTAGCTTGGGTTCCAAGGCCTATGTGAAATAAGTAGTTTTATTACTAACTTTTTTTTTTTTTTTAATTTACAGGCAGAGAGTATGTTATTCCATCCTTGGCCCACAGATTTATGGCAGAAATGGTGGATTTCTTTATTCTGTTCTTTATAAAAGCAACGATTGTCTTAAGTATTATGCACCTCAGTGGAATAAAGTAAGTTAAGGCTATTTGCAGAAAGGTTTTAATGTCTACTGCATAGAGATCTTGTTTTCTGAGGTTCTGTTCACAGCTGCAAGTCACTAAATGGACAGTCTGTGTGCCAGTGTCATGGTTTCTCTAATAGGGAAATCTCTTTGTCATATTTTTTTCTTGGTAGTTTTAAGAAATAACTACAAAAGAGAGAAAAACATTTAATAAATTCTGAAAGATCTGGGACTCTCACCTATTAAAAGTTAGGTAAAGGTTTTGATTTTTTCTTTTTTTTTTTTTTTAATTCAGCCCCTCTTACTATCCTGTTCAGAGTAAAGACAAAGGCATAAAGAGCTTTTGGTAAATCAACTGTTGATTATAAGTTAGATGGCATTTCCAAATGGGATTGCATTTTATACTATCAGGCATGTCCCACGTGAACACAGTGGGCCATCTATTTGAGTAACCTCCTCTCCTATTAATGAGCATATAGCACTTATCACTTGCTAAGCACTTTATACATGCTAAGTAAGCAGGTAGAAATAATATGGATTCTTTAATCTTAAAACCACTATGAGATGTAGAGTTTAATAGCCTTGTTTTTATATATTGAAGTTTGGGTTTATAAGAAGTTAAGCCCAGGATTTATCATTGCAAAGTTAAGAAGTGATAGTGTCAAGATGCAAACCCTTGTGGTCATGTTTTAGAGCCCTTGCTGGGAACCTGAGTGTTACTGAGATTCCTCCCTGTCCCTCCCAGGGACACATCCAGTCAGGTACCAGCTCCCTTCTTTTCAGGCTCTTGAAGAGCCTTCAACTCAGACAATTTCCTCTTGACTGACAGACGGTGCTTCATCATCACTGCTTCTCCCTAGTCTAGTTATTGTCGTCACTTTTCTAGATCATAGCAAAAGTCTTCTAATTGGTACCTTAGTCCCCCAACTCCTGTTTTATCTCAATCCAGTCTCTGATATAAACCAAAGAGATCATAAATTCTGATTCTTCCCCTCTCTACCTTAAAACCTTTCTTACTGCCATCAGGATAAAGTCTAGTCTTCATATGGCTTAACAGATGCTCTCATTTTTCAATCACTTGTTTTATACTTAATATTTGAGCTATACCCAAGTGCTTACAGCTTCCATCACAGTCTCATTCAAAGGCTCTCTCTCTCTGGCTAGTCCCTCTCTCTGAAACTTCCCCCTTCTTAGTCTGGCTAACTTCTCTTCATCCTCCAGATCTCAGCTCAAATGTCATTTCTGGGAAGGCTTCACTCACCGTGGTAAATGTTCTTGGTATGCATTTCCATACTGCCCTATGGGTCTACGTAATAGCCCTCATCCCACTTTATTCTTAGCTAATTAATTGTTCTGCTTTGTCTAGTAGGTAAGAGTCTCCTTGAAAGCAGAGACCAAGTTGAGTTCCCTCACCATTATGTCCCCAGGGCTAGTACAGTGCCTGCTCACAATAGTGCTGTTTATTTGTTGAACAGACTAATGAATGTTTTGTGAAACTAAACGGGTGGAAACCTAAGATTAGTTTAGAATTTCAGTTCAAGTTTGTGACTTACACTAATGGAAAAAATATCAGTGCAGTTGTGCTGGTGACTAAGTCTTTATAACCCCAAACTATTATTTTATTCAGGGATATCTCTAAGTTTGCTATGCATTATATAATAGAAGAAATAGATGAAGACACATCAATGGAAGACTTGCAGAAAATGATGATTGTGGCTCTTATATACAGATTATTAGTTTGTTTCTATGAGGTAAGCTACTGACTCAGCAAATGTTAACATTTAACAATCTTTTTTTTTTTTTTAATTTTTTAACATGATGATATTGAGAGAAATAGAGAGATATGAGAGCATACATGAGTAAAAGAGGGTAGAGGGGAGCACACAGAATTGGCAACAGGGGATTTGTGTTTCTGAAGCCATACATGAGTTCAGATAGCTCTAATCAGAACTGGCAAGTGCAGATCATAACCTTTCGAACCCAAGTTTGCTCCCCCAACCAACTGAGCCACCCATGTGCCCCTAACAATCTAATTTAAATTATCACCCCAATACAAAAAGAAATGGGAATTTACAGTTATTCATATTTTTGTCAAATGTCTCTGTTTAAAAATGTTTTCCAAATGTTCTTCTGTAGATAAACAGTAAAGCACCTTGGTGGCTCAAGAGTTGCTGCCCCGACTTCCCTATGCCTCAGGCCATGATCTCACGGTCTGTGAGTTCAAGCCCCATCAAACTGGCTGTGTGCTGATTGTGCCCAGAGCCTCCGGAGCCCGTTTTTGGATTCTGTGGCATCCTCCCTGTCTCTGCCTCCCCTGCGCTTTCCCAGTTTCTGTCACTTCCCCGGTATCCCTATAAACCAAAAAAAGCAAATTGATCAAAAAATTAAGATAAAAAATACAGCTCCCTGAGTGGAGATGTTTTACAATTTCTTTGTAACATATTTCAGTCTTGTGGTCCAAAAATATACTTGTAAATTGGTTGTGGAACTTGAAATGTATTTTTCCATAGAAACAACAACTTAAGTTAAGGTAAAAAAAGGTGGGGGCATGCCAGGAGAAATCTTACAGTACACATCTTGTGGCATGGAGGGGTTGAGAGACCAGAAGAAATGCATTACAAGGGTAACCTCTGAGTATTCTAGGAAATTCTTTCAACTTGAAAATTGTTTTAAAGGAATAACATGACAGAAAAACTTAACCTTTGAAACTGGTAGCGTTGACCTAGTAAATTAAAATTATCCTTCTTTCCTTAGATAATCTGCATTTGGGGAGCAGGCGGAGCCACCCCCGGGAAGTTCCTGCTGGGGCTTCGAGTTGTGACGTGTGATACATCAGTGCTTATTGCACCGAGTCGGGTTTTAGTGATTCCTTCCTCAAATGTTAGCATTACAACGTAAGTTCTTCTCTTAGCTTAATTTACTTATGAAAATAACAAATTTTGAGCGTAGTATCCGATATTCGTAAGTTCTACCATTTGATACAGTATTTTTAGCATTTTTAGTTGGTAATTTTTCTTCATGGCGTGTAACAGACATTGTTAGATTTAAAATGGAAAAGTTTGAGTTTTTCAATTGTTATATGATTATAGACCACTCTTCAGTGTAGAATTTCAAGATAGTCATTTTATGAACTATCAGCCACCATAATGAGAGGGTCTGGGTGGTGGTGGTCTGTGTATCAGTGCTCTGTATCTAGTTTGATTATTCTCTAATAAATCTGTGGTTATCGGGCCAGTTACTGATCCGCCTTTAGCCTCTATCAGTAATCCTGTCCATCCCGTCCTGAACAGGCAGCAGGAGTTTGGACAGAGATGCACGTGTGTGTCCAGCTCCTGCTCTAAGTGACAGCGTGTAACTCTTGGTAGTACTCACGGCTAGCTGTTGGTGTCTGTCTCTGTGAGGAGGTTCAAACAGTGCTACCACAAGTTCTAGAGAGTTAATTAAGGGGCTGTCAGTTGAGCAAAACAGGATACTGGCTGGAATTGCTGCCCAAGTGATTCAGAACTGGGTTGTTAGATAAAGAAATATGAGAGACTCTGGAAGCCTTGATTTTGCTAATATCTCCAAAATTTCCTTACAGTTTTGTGATTATAATCCTGGTTGCTACTTTTAATGAGTCAATAATGGCTGCTTATTGAGCACCTCTTCTGTAACAGGCATTGTTAAAAACACTGAATATGTATTAATAAGACAGGTACCATAGGTACTATTATTCCCTTTTTACAGAAATGAAACACAAGTGACTGATAGAAACAATTTAGTCTGGATTCAGAGCCCACACCCTCAGCCACTGTGCTTTTTCTATAGCCTTTCAGAAATCTAGCACTAGTAGGATAAGTTTCCACTCTGAGCTGTGGTTGAAAGCTTTTTTTTTTTTTTAAGCTTTCTTTAATCACAGCATCCCACAAAGAAAGAATACCCAGTAATTTAAAATGTGAGTGCTTCATAGAAGGTGGAAAATGGGACTGCATTTTGTATATTAGTTTAGAAGGAACTAAACACAAATGACTGTAGAAAAGGTAAGTAAAGGGAATAGATATTTGTCTACAAAATATCAGAGAAAATACTGTAACCTTTAGTTCACCTTCTACAAGACCTGTTTATTACTGCTTTTCATGTGACAGTTCTGAATCTTTTTATGTTGATGATGTCTTTAGAACAAGCCCAGATGGTCTTACTAGAGTATAATGCTACTTGAAAGTAACTCGTATCAAAGATAAAAAACTGTCAAGACTTTGTATGTTTTATGTATTTTGAACTTGATAGGATACTATTAATCTCCGCGTGGTTGGTATATAATTTGTCTGATTTTTTTGCCTTAATTTTTTAGGTCCACTATACGAGCTTTGATCAAGAACTTTTCTATTGCTTCTTTTTTCCCTGCTTTCATCACACTGCTGTTTTTTCAGCATAATCGAACAGCCTATGACATTGTAGCAGGAACCATTGTGGTAAAGAGAAATGGGGTCAGATGATGCCCCAAAAGAGCCCTGAATTCCATACTCTCCGGAATGATGACAAGACTAAATTATGTATCAAGGCCATCAGTATCCCTGGGTTACACTAATTGATGATTTAGAAATTAAAGCAGTCGCTCCAGTGTGATGCAGGTGACTATTCTGAAAGTATTGATATTACTTGAATGCCAAAGAACTTTTCCAGAAGAAAAATCTGTTAAATTTAAATGTTAAAAATTTTTAGATTGAAAAGAAGGCAAGTGATTTTATAATCAACAATGGACAATATATACTTTCTTAAGATCTAAGGCATTAGAATTTGCTGAAAGCATTTTCAGCTCTGAAATCTCCAGATGAAACTTAAAAAATTTTGGTTTATCCCAGAATGATGGAAAAGTCCAGTTGTGTTTTGTAAACACATTAACTCATATTTTAGTCAACACTTCTTGGGGCAATTGTTGTCTTTGCTTTTGGGGAGGGGGGTGGGGACACAAATTTGATAACCCGCTTATCTCCCACTCTGGGAGGAAGTGAGTCAGCTGCAAGAGAGAGGGGCAAAGGAGGCAGGCCTAGGTTCCCTTACTGACGTTCTCAGATCTGTACTGCAATGCACTGTGGGAATGATGCCACTTTACAAGTATCGTTACTGTTCTAACATGTATTTGGGGCAAGTTTTGCATGATGATGAAAAAGTATTAAGTCATTTTGCTGTATTACTGATTTTTTTAAAAGAAAAGGTAAGTTAGTGATTGCTTTTGGTGGGGGGAGGGGGGGTCCTAAATTTTCACCATAAATTAAAATTACAATTCATGTGCAAGTGTTTTTAGTGCCCTAAATCAAACTATATGTGGGGGGAAATTATTCGTCAAATTGTTGCATATTTACTGTAAAACAACATTCCCAGTATGTGTGCAGCATGAAGAAAGTGTTAGTGCTTTTCAGTGTTCTAATAGAACTTCTGTTTCTATAAGGATATTTACACACTAGGTAGTTTCCTTTTATATTTTATATAGTTCTAGGACTTTTGAAACCTCAAGGAGTTAAATAATCATAGTATTTCATGGTAAAATACTAGGTAGCCTATTAAATATTAGCGATTTTCCCATTATGAACTATTCTAAAACAAGGACAGGTATTTCCAGACATTTTTCTAAGTTCTTTGGGCCAAAACCTCACTTTGGGGCTGCCAGGGATGGTGTCTTGAGGGAAATGTTAAGTAACAGTTTGTGTATTGCCATTTTAATTTATTCTTCTACTGAGGCAAAGCTTAGTGTTTTAAGTATGTGTGCATGTTTTGTTAGATGGCCCTGTTAGCTGTGTTGAGAGAATACCTGAAAAAGTTTTATTTCTTAGGCGTTTTCTCCAACCCTGATACTATTTTCCCAAAAAACACTAACCTCTGTTGGACACTTCATAATTAGATTGCTTAAAAATCTTGACTTTTTTTTTGGTCTTTGATAGCGAATGAAAGACAGGTATATTATCACTGTATCAGTTTTTAAAGTGGGTTTTTCCTTTAAAACTGAAAGTATTCACATTTGATGTCTATAGAAACCTTAACAGTGTCCTTATTAATACCTTTTTATCATAAAATTTCATAAGCCATGTTTTTCAAAATAATTTTACATTAAATTCAACACCACAGAAAGCCTGTCCGTTAAGTGCGTCCAGGTACTCGACAAATCATTCACTTGTTGCCCCTGGGAAGATATTTAGCTTGACGGCCCTTCAGGGTAAGTGTTACCCAAACGTACCACTCAGTAGTGTACTACATTAGCATTGGTGGATACACTATTTTTGCCACTGATGGGGGAGATCCAGTTGCAATGTCCTTCAGCCATGTAGCTCTGGAGAGCTTTATAATTTCCTCTCAGAAAATTGGAAGGTTCACCGTCTAGGCTATTTCAATGTATACAAACAAAAGCAAGTCATGTCACCCAGTTTAACTTCTTAAAAAATTGCATATTTTCTGTATCTGAGTTATTCAGAATCATATCTATGTAGGTTCATTTAGGTCCATCTTAGGGTTCAAGTTACATAGCCCGATAAAATAAAAGTATTCCTGCTTTGCCTTTACAACAAATTGCAAGGCTGTTTGTATTTCTGAATGCACTTAGGAAAGAAAAGATATTTGATGCCCAGATCATTGGGAAAAAATGACAAAAAATGGGGAAGGAGGGAGAGTTCTTTTCTCTTCGGGTTGTGGTGGGGGGGAGGGGGGGTGGGAAGCCTCCCATCTTTTCAAAAACACTTTTCTATTTGATGTATTTCATTTATAGAAAATTTCTGCATCAGAGTATAATTCTCATGCCGAAGCTCTAGCCTAAAAAGGCAAAAAGATAGTTGTTTTCAAAGAATGTTTACAAACATTATTCATCACTTTTACAAGATAATAAGGGAACAAAAATCAAAAGTAAGCAGAGTAAAAGAACACTATTGCAGTGAAAGTGCCCTAATGAAAACCACAGAATAGGCAGTTAACGCAGGCATCTAGAAAAATCTCAGTACCTACTAAAAGTAGCTAGAGTGGTAGTGCACCGTAAGAGAAGTCTGACTTGAGTGTTCACGCGGGCCGAGGTGAGGAAACCCGAGGATGACAAGCCTCGCTCTTTTTGACTCATCTGTGACCATAAAACTAAAGCCAACACTTTTTTGGATAGAAAGCCTTCAAAGTATCGCCCAGCTGATACCTGTGTAGCACTGGTTCAGAAGTGACTTAAACATTTACCTTCCGATTTTACCCAGATATTTAGGATTTAAAAAAAAATGGTTGAGGGCCCCTTTGTCTAAATTATAAAATTAAGGCCTAGTGTCCATCGTTTCAAATGACAGGAAGAGTGGTTTTTAGCTGCATTAAAAGGATTTGTTCCCTTATGGGACTTGTTTGGGTGTTTTACTTATGCATAAGTGTTTCCAGCAAAGGAAGACAAAAAAGGGAGTTTACTTGCTACTCGGGAGGAGGGCTTTCTGAGAGGAGGGGTAGGACGTTTTCATTCTACACTTACCCTGTTCAAAGCTGTGGTTCCTTTGGAGGAATATGCCAACAGCAGTGTTCGTAAAACCTGACCAGTGTCATTTCACGTACTTGCCATTGCCCGGCCTCCATCCCAGAGGCCAGAATCTTTTATAAGAAGTGCTTGCCTGGGTGACGTTCCTCCTCTCCAGCTGTGTGTCTATTTTCTTGCAGTTCATTATAGTAGGACTTGACCCACAAACAGTATCTGATGGCCTGCCTATAAGTAAAATTCAGCATTCTATTTTTAATAATTTGTATGCCACCGATTTGTATCCTTTGTCTCAATAAATACTTGATCACCGATGCTTTCGTTTTTTGACTGTTGAGATTTGCTCTAGAATTTCCTGCTCACGGAGACCTTGCTCAGCTTTTCCAGCGTTCTCTGCCTTCAGGAGAATGGCAGTCAGCTAGAGTGCTTTCAGAAAGATCTAGCAACAAGCCATCCACCCTTAGGGGTTGTACAGTCCTGTAGCAAAAGTCACTCAAAAGTTCCCCAGAGATGACTAAGCTTCATGTTAAGCCAGTCCTGTCCTTTCCTTAAAGTGGTTAACCATCCCGCATTATACAAGATACTAAGAACGCATTTTACACCCAAAGAACCGGAAGTTCAAAGTCTCATAGGTGGTGAACGACCGCGCTGGGCAATTTAAACCTAGTTCTGATCTTACAAGCATTTCCTGTTGTAACACATCTAGAGGAGGACAGGATACAAAACAGGTCCCCAAGAAGAACAAAGCTGAGAAACCTAAATGGAGCTAAAACGGCCTGGTCTGAGCTCTGCAGACCGTGTTGATCTGAGCCCAGGCGCACACTACACATTGTGGAACTACAGGGAACTTTTAAAGCAAGCTTTACAAGCTGCCCCGTGTTATTCGTAAATTCAGCTGGTGTGTGTCACTAGACCCAGTACACAGCCATTTCCTCAACCTGACTATACCAAATGTGCAGTTTCCACTAAACACACAGGCTCGTAACCTTCGTACAGCTTTCAGGGAGTTTCACTTTAAATAGGCCCCGGAAACAAGTCACGGAGACGAAAAGGACAGCGTAACAAGTCAGTACTGCTGGAATAACGTACGGTGACCGACGGTGACTGCACTGAACTGTGGGGAGCACGGAGAGACTCCTGCTGTACGCCTGAAACGAATATGGTAGGTCAACAAGAGTTAAAAATAAATTTTAAAAATAAACCTCCTGGGGCGCCTGGGTGGCGCAGTTAAGCGTCCGACTTCAGCCAGGTCACGATCTCGCGGTCTGTGAGTTCGAGCCCCGCGTCGGGCTCTGGGCTGATGGCTCAGAGCCTGGAGCCTGTTTCCGATTCTGTGTCTCCCCCTCTCTCTGCCCCTCCCCCGTTCATGCTCTGTCTCTCTCTGTCCCAAAAATAAACGTTGAAAAAAAAATAAACCTCCTATAATTAGGATTTTATCATTTGAAATTCAAGTGTTAGACTACTTTATAGCCTGGTTACAAATTTTTAAAATTCGTCCCAACACTTCAGGAGCGCCTTGGTGGCTCAGTCAGTTGAGCGACGGACTCTGGCTCGGGTCATGATTTCACGGTTCGTGCGTTCGAGCCCTACGTCGGCTCTATCAGCACAGAGCCCACTTCAGATCCTCTGTCCCCCTCCCACACACGCTCTCTCTCAAAAATAAACATTAAAAAATAATAGTTATTCCAACACTTCAATTTCAAATAACAAAATCCTAATTACGTAAACAATTGCAGGAGAGAATTTATAACAGATGTGAACAAAGGCGGCTAGCTTGAAGAGATTTCCCAGTTGTTTACATCATACTGTTTCTTAAGGCCCCAAATCCTGAATTACTGAAAATCACCCGGCACCCAAAGTGGCAGGCCTGGACCTCCTGCATCTGGAGTCCTCCAGCCAGAGAAGGGGGTTTTCTTCCTGTGCTATTTCCCCTTCTCCCAACCAACCGCCCTCAGTTTTCACTTGTGTATAGAACACGTAACACAGAGACCCGCCACCGAGAGCGGGTCTGCAGCCGGAGCCGGTCCGGGCGGGAGACCTCGCCGAGCAGGGGACAGACAGGCTTGAGGCTAGAGCTGCTTTCGCGAGCGCCCCTAGGGCTCCCCCGTGCAGCCCGAGAAGAGCCGCAGTCGAGATGCAAAGTACAAGCGCCACACGCCGAACACATTTCTACAGACTTCAGTTTGGGCGCCGGAAGATTTCCTTCTTCAACCGCCTTAAGTAGGATTTTCAGTCACTTCTACTAAATATTTCTAGCACATTTCTTATGAGAATTTCCCACAGTAGAAAGCCTAATGTCCCCATTCGTACAGGCCTAGAGAATGGCTAACATGAATGAGCCCGCAATTTAGTTCGGCATCAACATCCGAGCATTAAGACTGGATTTCCAGGACTCATCACCATTTGCCCCCAGACAGGCCCGTGTCAAATGTGTGTTACTAATAAAGTGAGAATTAGAAAATGTCTACCCCCAAACCAGCATCTGACGATGGCCTAAGAGGTTTTCAAGACGACAAACATCCTACGCCAAAATTGGAAACACATATAAAAAAGCTTGTGAACATTTTCAAGTTCTGAATTGGCAAATGGTATCCCAGCAGCTCTTTTTGACAGACCACCGAAGAGACCTAGTCAGAAAGAAAAAAAAAAAAAAACTGCTAACATAATCCACACGAATTCCACACGACAGAACCACTCAAGTTTTTGCAGGCTGCTCTGGGCACGTGTCTCCAAAAGCTCAATCGATAAACGGCTGTCTGGTCACCTCTCAAGGAAGATACAAATACAAACAGAAATGGTCACGTGTGTTTATTTTCAACTTTTAAAAAGGTATGTCAATTTATATGCAAAGTAGGCGTGATTCCTAGCACCAGACAAAAAGCAGGGTACCTTCTACATGTTTTACGTTCGGACACTTCCCCGCTTCACTTAGGAGATGTCCAAGTCACTTAAATGGATTCTTTGGAATTTCTCTGACCGTGGCGAACCTTTATACAAAGGTTCCCTTCCGTTAACACCGGTACCTTCATTTTAAGTTAACACTAGAACGAAAAATATTTCATAATTTTTTATTGATGGCATTTATCCCATGGTTTAACATGTTAATTATACTGTAATAAACATGGCTTTAATATTAAACTTTTCCTTATTATCCAAAGTCACCACAGTCCATTTCAGTAAATATAAAAATATATGCTTAATACTTTGTACAATACTGGTTTTTGGTCCAAACAAAACTGGATCAGAAAAGCCAATAAATTCACTTTAAGAATCCCCAATTTTTTTTTTAAAGATTTCCAAATGGATTTAGGCAACTTTGAATAATGGGATTTACATAATAAAATCTGAGACGAGACTAAACAAAGAACAAATTTTCTAACACAAAATTAAAATTTCAAGTTCACAGATTTATGTTATGCCAAAAAAGTACAGAAACAAAATTGTATTTACACAAGTTTCATAATAAAATAATGAAAAAGGCAAGACAGGTGAGAGGAGAATGAAAATATAGAAATAGCAGAGAATTATTAAATGGAGAATGAACTAGATCTAGTAAGTCCTTAGCACGGACCATCCTTTCATCAGGCTTCCTCTATCGGAAAATCTTAGTGCACGAGACACCCGACTCACTCCACACATACACCAGCACAAACTCGGCAGAGAAATCACTCACTTCAACACTCTCTAATCTACACGGGGGTCCTCCGATATAATTACAACGTCAGTGCGTTCCATAAACGCGTGTCAACGCACGCGGTGGTGCAGACACAGGGGTTCTTTACAAAGCCATTCGCGGAGCGGGCTCCCTCCCTGGGCCCGGCCAGCCTGCGCCGGGCCAGGGACCAATGCGCCGGGTCAGAGTTTCGCTGAAGAATCAGTCACCGATCTAGCTATGATTTGTTTTAAAACGGGAGTGGGAGAGGTGAGGGCAGGGCTTCTGTAAAGAAAGAAAACAAGGAGGAAAACCCCCAAATTAAAGAAGTCTTGAGGCGGATCTGACGTCAGATAACCCAGCACACAGGACGATCCAGTATCTGGAAAGCGGGCACCGGCTGCTGTGGAAGTGTTGCGCACAACACCAAAGTGACCTTTATTTCTTGCGCCTGACGGCAGTCTTTATCTTGCGCCCAGAGACTGAAGTTCCAGAAGACGAGAACATATTTTTCCCGTTTGACCTGGGGAAAACAAAAACTTCATTATGTGACAAAGTGCGCGGACAAAACCTCAGAATCCTACTACTCAGGGCTCCCAGTGACTGGGGGGGGAGGGGGGGGACGACATACTGGTAAACATACTTTGTTATGTCGCTGTCACACACACACGCACGCACACACAGGCACAGACACGTGCTGGAGCGCACACGCAAGCACGCACGCACGCAGGCGCACGCACGCAGCCCCAAGGGGCCAGGCCCTCTTACCCCACGGTGAAGGCCGCCGCCGGATGGCTGAAAGGAAAGCCCCCGGAGCCCGAGGGCTGGGCCGCGGCCGCAGGAGCGCTGGGGTTCGCACCGAACGTGAACACTCCCGACGGGTTGTTGTTCGTGAAGTTGAAGTTCGTGGTGCTGCTGCCGAACTGGAAAACTGAAGCTACAATAGTTAAAGCAGAAAAACGTCATTAAGGTGAAAATGCTAGTGGTTCTAGTAAGGACTCCGACCCGGCCACGCGCAGCGCGGGAGGGGTTGAGCTCCCTTACTTACATTCGCTTAATAGGAAGGAAACTAGAAGGAAGTGTTTTTTCCAATGACGCACGCTACGGACTCACACGCCCCCTGACAAGTGACCCGACTTCCCTATGACCAAGGAGGAAAGGGTAGAAGAGACTTCTGGACAAAGACAGTAGAATCGACATTTAGCGCCAATTTCTTCACAAATTCACAGATGATGCTAAAATAACAGGAACGGGGTTTTTAGCAAGATGAGGGAGGAGACGCCAGAAGGCGGACTGGAGCCAAGCATTGAGCTAGCGGCGGGTGCCCACGGGAGCAACTCCTCGGACACGAAACACACCCACGGGCCGGGCGCCAGACGGCCGAGGAAGGGAGGCCGCGGGTGGGCTACAACAGGGAAGGCGGGAGATCATCCGTGTGGGCAGCAGACGCCCAGATCTGTCCCGCCCCGGTACAAACAAGAGGCCATTCTCCAGCCCAGCAAGTCTCTGGAGAGGTCTCTGGCCAGGGGTCAGGATGTATCACACAGAAAGGCAAGGACACCCTACAAAAACCAGAAGGAGTAAAAGCAGGGTGAAGGCCGAGAGCTGCGGCCTTGCCCTGCGCCCCCCCCAACCCTGGCCACGGGGAGTACATGTGCCCTCCAGGCAGGAGACTGAATAATCTCTGGGGATTCCAGACCTGCTGACACTAACATCCAGGTCTTCCCAAGTAAACAGGCCAGTCAGATAAACCTACAAGGAAATTCAAGATCTACAAGCCTATCCAAACACAAAGAATTATCAAGTGGTACTTAGGTATCCTACACTAATTAAATTTTGAGTTGAATGGGAACAGGTATTTGCAAACCACATATCTGATAAGAAGCAAGTATCCAGAATATCAAGAACGCCTACAACTCAACGGTCAAAAAACACAAATAACCTGATTTAAAAATGGACAAAAAGCAGGGCGCCTGGGTGGCTCAGTTGGTTAAGCATCCGACTCGTGATTTCAGCTCGGGTCATGATCTCAGGGTTTCGTGAGATTGAGTCCCATGTCAGGCTCTGTGCTGACAGTGTGGAACCTGCTTGGGATTCTCTCTCTCTCCCTCTCTCTGCCCCCTCCCTGCTTGTGCTCTCTCTCTCTCAAAATAAATAAACATTAAAAAAACATAGACAAAAACTTGAGCAGACATCTCTAAAGATGATACACAAATAGCCAGCAGGCAAACAAACATTAACATCACTCAACATCACTCATCATCAGGAAAAAGCAAATCAAAACCACAGTAAGGTGTCACCTCACACCTGTTAGGATGGCTGTCGGCACCAAAAACACAAGAGACAACAAGAGCTGGTGAGCATGTGAAGAAAAGGAACCCTGTGCCCTGATGCGGCCACTGTGGAAAAGTATGGAAGTTCCTCAAGAAATTAAACGTAGAAATACCATATAATCCAGCAATCCCATTCTGGGTATTTATCCAAAAGATTTGGAATCAGAATCTTGAGGAGATACTTGGACTCCGGGGTTCACTGTGGCATTATTTACAATAGCCAACATGTGGAAGCCCCCTAACTGTCCACTGATACATGAATAGAGTTAAACAATGTACATTACATACAATGGTTATTCATCCTTTAAAGAAAAAAAAAAAAAAAAGAGTATCTTACAATATGCAAAACATGGACTCTGGAGGACATTATGCTAAGTGAAATAAGCCAGTCACAGAAGGACAAGTTCTGCCTGATTTCATTTCTATGAGGTATCTAAAACAGCCAAACCATAGAAGCAGAGAGAGGGATGGTGACTGCTGGGAGACCAAGAGGTAACAATTTTGGAACAAAATCGGAAGGATATAAAGAGGCATCCACACAACAAAAAAGAACACTTGGAATTAAAAAGTAATACTAGCGGAAGTAAAATCTCAACAGAAGGAGGAATAAAAGATAAGTGGAAGAAATCTTCCCAGAAAGCGCAGAAAGGACAAAAAGAACAGAAGTTAAAGAAGAGTGAGGCACAAAAATTTCCCAAGAAACAATTCAAGAAAATTCCCAAGAATGAAAGTTCACAAAAGGACAGACTAAATTCCTTACACAATCAGTGGGACAGGCCAAGGAATGGCTTTTTCTTTTTTAAATCTTTTATTTATTTTTGAGAGAGAGAGAGACAAGTGAGAGCAGGGGAGGAACAGAGAGAGAGGGAGACACAGAATCCGAAGCAGGCTCCAGGCTGTCGGCACAGAGCCCAATGCGGGGCTCGAACCCACGAACCGTGAGATCCTGACCTGAGCCAAAGTTGGACGCTTAACCGACTGAGACAAACAGGCGCTCCGGAACAGCTTCTTGATAAGTCAGAACACTGGAGGCAAAAGAAAAGATTCTAATGAGATTTCAGAAAGAAGAAATGGTCAAAGAGCAGAGATGAAGAAAGAATTCAAGAGTAACTCTGAGACAGCCAGAAAGTCCATAATGGAGAGATGCCTTCAAAACTATGGAAATTATGTCCAATCTAAATCTGTACTCAACTGAAATCTTACCAAACACAGGGGCATAATGAAAATACTTCCAGAAATGTAAGGTCTCAAAACTTTCTTCCTTGAGGACTTCAAAAATCACTGGAAGAGCTGCTCTATTAAAACAAAGAAATAAGACAACACTGACATCATCCAGCAAAGAGATTCTTTTGAGAGGAAGGGTTCCAGAATCTCCAAGAGAAAGGTAAAAAGAGGTGCCGAGACCACAGTTCAACAGTGGGCCTAGAAAGGAGCAGATCAGAAGATTCTGTGGGAGGATTCTGGTGGGAGGAGCAGATAAGTTTCTCTCAGGTACTAAACAGCACACAGCCAATGTATTTGAAAATACTGAGAAGTGATCTAGATGAACAGGAGGAGAGCCAAAGTTGTAACTACTGACAGGTACAAAGACATCAACACAGACGGGGATCATTCGTGCTGTAGAAAACAAAACACTGTAGAGAGAAGAATAGCAAAGTATATATCACACAGTCTGCACACTCGGGCCACTGATTCAAGCACACAGTGGTCCACACATCAGGAGGACTGAGGGAACTGTCACCTGTGTGAAAGAAAGCTAAACTCTCCAACGCCTCACAGTGAGAAGAATCAACTAATCCCAATTAAAATGGGTAATACGTGTCATAGAAGTTCCGCTACCTGTACTACTGACCAAGTATTAATATCTGGAATACATTAATAATTCCTACAAAATAAGCAAAAGCAAAACAATGGAAATGAAAAACAGCCACAAAAATTAAAAAAAAAAAAAACCTTATAAAAACAATTCACAAAAAATGAAATCAAGTAGAATCCAGACATGAGAATCCTCATACAAGACAGCAGGATGTGAATGTGAACAATCTGCCAGGCCAAGCTCGTGTTATGCTGTAACGTAGAAGATACGCACACGCACCTCGGAATCCAGCGGCCCCTTTCCCGGTATGTACTCTAGAGAAACATGCACGTGCACCCCGCAGCGTGGGCACGGCACGAGCAGAACGGCATGTCCTCACAGCTAAAAACAGCGGTACATGGATAAATCGCGGTATGTTCATAGACTGATTTACTCTACAGCAATGAAAATGAACGAACTATATGTAATAACATGGATGTGCTTTACAAATAAAGCAAAAGACACAAGAAGCAAAACACTGAATACAGTAAGATTCCATATATATACATATATATATACATATATATATATACACAGTTAAAAATAAGCCAAAATGGTATCTTGTAGAGATTCACGTATCAGTAGTTCACTTTAAAAAACCCCAGGAAAGTGATGATCATAAAGGCCAGGACCCATCAGAGCAAGGAAAGAGGCGTGTGATCAAAAAGGGAGACCGGGGCTGCTTTTCTATGAATGGTTAAGTCACCGACTTTCAGCCGGGTCACGACTGTCCGTGGAGTTCGGGCTGAGTCTCCCCCCCCCTGCCGGGTTTGGCTGGGCTGGCTGATGGCTCGCCTGAGCCTGGAGCCTGTTTCCGACTTGTGTCTCCCTCTGCCCTCCCCCCCTCACATACATGCTCTTTTGCTCCTCTCTCTGTCCCAAAATGTCAAGAAAAAATTTAAAAAAAAAAAAAAAAAAGGGAGACCGGAGGGGCTCCTGGGCGGCGGGCTACACAAGTGTTTTGCTACAACATCACACTGTTCATTTATGTTTCAGGTTTTTCTACGTGAAGTTGTATTTCACAGTGAGAAAAAGACACATCGTGCAATTCTGAGGAAACACATCATAGTACAATGTGATTAGCCAGATTGAAAACAATGCACTTGTTTACATATTGCCAGTCAAGTGTCATCCAACAGAAAGTTCCTGGGACAACGGGGCTGTCCGGTCCCAGGAGAGCACTGCACTTGGGGGCGTAACCTCCCACAACGAGGACTAGAAAATATAGCTGGAATCTAGGCTGGAGTGCTCCCAAATTCAGATGGGGAGAAATGGGACTGAATGAATGTCCAATCTACATCAAAGAGTAAGAAATGACTACATTTTAATCACATACATGAATACCTTCAAGCGCTTACTTTTAACAGTATGAAGTTGAGAATGTTGTTTATATCGTAAGTCCAAACACATACTTCTCTATTCTGCCAAGTATAAGATGTTTAAAAAACTAAGACACATACGTGGCTTCAAAATTCAGAAACCATATTCTATTGGGAGCCACCAGCACCTGGGTACGGATGCAAACTATGTGAACAGCACACACTTACTAGAACTAGGAGCTGCTGCAGAGCCAAATGCAGACTGACTAGGCTGTTGTCCAAACACAGGAGGCTGGCTGCTGCTTGACACTGTCCCAAAAGTGGGTGGCGTGGGCTGAGAAGTGGCAGAAAACAATGCTGCGGAAGATGACAGGGCTCCGAAGCCTGAGGGATTCGGCTGGCTGGCACCTTGACTCTGTCCAAACGTCGGGGTTTGGTTAACACCAAATGCTGGACTGGCAGACGGTGCTGAAGGTCCAGTGCCAAACACGAAGGAGGATCCTAGAGACCCAGAGAAACAGTCACGTCACCTAACAGCTACAACCAGATAATCCTTAAGAAAGGTCTAAAAATTTAGCTGCAAACCGCGAGCCTCTCTTTTCACTTTACCTTGCTGAACAAGTCCCATCAGGGCCAGTTTTCAATAATAATGAAGAATACAATCCTATTATTTAGTAAAGCCATATAGAATTCATATAAACAAAAATTATTAGCCAAGAGTCCCCACCTTCACAGCCAAATTTTTTTAGGTAAAGGGATCCATCCAAGAAGATAACTGATTTTCACCACATATTCAACGCACTGCAGAAATCAGCTAATGTCGTCATCATGTATATATACGTAATGCAGACCTACGTCTAATGAAATAGGCCCCAGTGTCTGGTTACTTAACAACCTAACATTTCAAAAAGAACACTTGGAAAATCTAAAGATTACACTCTCGTTGAGATCAGAAAAATCCCTCCTAAGAGTTAATTCTATTAAACCGAACACAGACTGCACGGGATTCCACGCAGTGAACGGCTGCCACACCCGTAACCTTAGGGGGCAGGCGACCTAACTGCACCCGGGCTGTTCTGTAAAAACCCGCGACAGGTTACTTGCTAAGAGCAGACAGGATGAAACAATCCAACTACAACCTGTTTTTCTTTTGTAAATAAATGTACCTGCAGAGCTGCATGTGGTGGTAGCTCCAAAATTGAAACCAGAGGTTACAGGATTACTACCACCGGCCCCTGGACCGAAGACGAACGGGGTGACCGCTGAGCCCGCGCTGGACGTGGCTGCAGGTTTGCTCTCCTGAGAAAACAGCAGAGACTGAGAAGTACTGGCCTCCGCAGAGTTCCCGAAAGCAGAGCTGCTCACAGGGTTGCTGGCCTGTCCAAACACGAAGGCAGCCACCGGCGCACCGGAGGACGCAGTGGAGCTACCGAATATGCCCCCGGCTGCCGAAGTGGCCGGTGCACTTGAATTAGAAGAATTGTTGTTCAAGAAACTGAACACTGGTTTTGCTGCACCTGGATCTGTAAGACAGAAATAAAGATGCAAACAAAAATCTTTAAGAACAAGGAATCACAGAAAGCATTCTTCCCTTGCCTACGGTCCACAAATTCACTAGAAAACAGAAACAGTAACTTTTTTATACAAATTCATTCAGCAAATGCACACACTATATTAAATTATGATGTAAGCAAATACATCGATCTTCCCTTTTACGGCTTCTGAAGTTTGTCTTACAGAAGAAGGCAAGCCCTCAGCATTCAGATTAATAAGAATAAAAATATCCCTTAAATTCAACACATCCAACTGAAGACTACGGGTAACAGCTCGGATAGTGGGAGACAGCTGTGCTCTTGACTTTGCAATTTATGTTAGCAAAATTATCATTTCTCCAACCAGCAGTCAATTCTCTCTGCAGCATTTACTGACCAGCGCGTCCTTCACTCGCTAATTTGTGACTCCACCTTTACGACACGCTAAATTTCTAAGTATGTGCGCATTTGTTTCCTCTATAGCTACTGTTACTAGACTGTTTTAATTATTGTAGCTTTATAGTCTGGTTTGATAGTAAACCTGTTTGTGTGCCTGCCCTTCTCCCCAAAATTTCTTGTGCATTTTCCCTTCCATGTGAATTTCAAAATTACCTTAGCTTGTCACGCTCCACAAAAATTCCTCTACAAACGGAAATTAAGGGGGTGCCTGGGTGGCTCAGTCGGTTAAGCAACCGACTTCAGCTCAGGTCTCGATCTCGCGGTTTGTGAGTTCGAGCCCCGCGTCAGACTCTGTGCTGACAGCTCAGAGCCTGGAGCTGCTTTGGATTCTGCGTCTCCCTCTCTCTCTGCCCCTCCCCTGCTCACGTTCTGTCTCTGTCTCTCAACAACAAATAAACGTTAAGAAAAAGAAACGGAAATTAAGGCTTCCAGTTATGGAATGAGCAAGTCACCGGGATAAAAGGGAGCGTGCAGGGAAGACAGTCTCCGGCACTGTAACAGTGTTGTGTGGTCACAGATGGCAGTTACATTTGTGGTGAGCACAGCAAATGCACAGCGCTGGGGCATCCCTGAGTTGTACACTCGAAACTAAAGTAATGCTGTGTGTCAACTACACTTCAACTAAACACAAAAAACCAAATTATCTTGGGGGAGCTGGGCAGGAGACTATTCTCACTCAGGAACAGGTATTAATAAATAGGTCTTTTCTGTTCTTTTAATTATTTAGCCTGTTACAAGTTCTGTTGCTGTTATAAAACACAAATTAAAGATGTTAGAAAATACAAGTGACATTTGTCCAACTATTTATTGCTGATTCAGAGGAAAGCTACTGGTTTTTATATGGTGATCCTGAAACCACCCACTTTACTGAAGACATTTTTTTCAACTGTTCCAATACTGTCTACTGGACAGGGCTGGCCATAATATGAAACGGGCATTAGTATGATTTACAGACAATGGAACAAGTTGGTTCACTTTCAAGTTGGTTAATGAGAGGTTAAGAGTGTCTATTTCAATGGAAAGAGTATAGTAACACCATAATTATATCCGATTAGACCTGATCTTATTTTTATTCCTTTCCAAATCATATATAATTTAGTTTTTATTTTTTTGGAGAGTGTTTTGAATTTCCAAACAGACAATAGACACAAACTGCTCACACCTACTCACTGAATTCCATTCTCCCCGCACCACCCCCCCCCACCCCGGTCAGGTTAATTTTTCATCTTGCTCCCAATATATTATTCAGAAGTGTTCATGGGTGTTCAATTCTTTTTTGTTTGCCTGAAAACATCTCTATTTTGCCCTCACGTTCGACCAAATTTGGCTGGATATAAAATTGTAGGATCAAGACCATTTTCTTTTTTAACATTTATTTATTGTTGAGAGACAGAGCACAAGCAGGGGAGGGGCAGAGAGGGAGACACAGAATCCGAAGCAGGCTCCAGGCTCTGAGCTGTCAGCAAAGCCCAACGTGGGGCTCAAAATCACGAAATGCGAGATGACCTGAGCCGAAGTCGGATGCTTAACCGACTGAGCCACCCAGGTACCCAAGACCATTTTCACGGGGCACCTGGGTGGCTCAGTCGGTTGAGCGTCCGACTGTTGATCTCAGCTCAGGTCATGGTCCCATGGTTGTGAGATCAAGCCTTGCACTGGGCTCTGGGCTGGGCATGGAACCTGCTTAAGATTCTCTCTCTCCCTCTCTCTCTGCCCCTCCCCTGCTTGTGCTCGCACTAGCACGTGCTCTCTCTCTAGAAAATAAAAAGACCGTTTTCACTTTGAGGACAGTGCTCCACTGTTTTAAGCATATGATGTTACAAATTAGAAGTGTGATGCTAACCTGATACTTGTTTATTTGTGGCAAACAGCTTTCCTCTCTTAGAGAGCATTCAGGATTTTGGCTTTGGTGTCCTGTAATTTCACTGGTCTTTGCCAGTGAGTGGGCCATTTCCATTTTTAAGGCCAGGGTCTTGCTCTACAGGGAGGAAATACTCTTCCGTCACTGCTTTGCTCTCTCCTCTGCCCTGTCCTCTTCTTCTAAGCACTCTTCTTGCAATGGCCTGAGAACCAGCTGGACTCCATTCTCTCTACACTTCGGCATGGGCTCTGGGAAATCCCAGTTCACCAATCTATCATCTGTGTTTCTTCTGCTGCTCAGCCCACAGAACGATTTTATTTCACCAAGCACGTTTTTAAGTTTTAAAAAAATGCTACTTCATTTTCTCTTCAGGATTTTAGTTTTCATAATCGCCTCTGTTTCAGAGATTAACTCTATTTGTGGTCTATGCTCCTTGGACGCCTGATGATGGCTGGGTAACTCTATTTGTGAACGAACGCCTGCACAGAGAGATTTAGTTAGAAAATATTTCATGAGCTGACAAAAGAAGGCCTACTTTCCGGAGCGGTATGCCAATTCTGATTGTCAAAGCTCAAACAGAAGGGAGAAACATGGACAGATGGGAAATGCTGTGGGCTCTCCATCAGCGGTGTATTTCTCAGAATCAGATCTGCAGGTGACAGCATTGCATCATAAGGGTTTGGAGCAGTGAACACTGCAAATCCTAGGCTCCTTCCCAGAGAGTCTTTATTGGTCTCTCTCAACTATGTCCAGTGTAAACCATTCCCTGACCTGCTGCATTTGTCCAGATACCAGAGGTGCCTTGTAAAAAAAAAAAAAAAAAAAAAAAAAAAAAAGGAAAGAAAAGTGTTTAATACTTACCAGTCGTGGTATTGGTTTGAGACCCAAATGCGAACGCGGCCTTCGTAGGCTGTTCCGGTTCCTTCTCAGATGGTTTTGCCACACTGAAACTAAAGGTGGCCTTTGCAGAACTCTCATCTTTGGTTTGCTCTGAATTCCCAAAGGAAAACACTGGCTGACACTTCGGCTCCTCACTGTCCGCTTTCTTCCCAAACACCAGAGAAGTAGAAGTGACCGGCTCTTGCTGTTTCTCTTCTGTCCTTCCCAAAACGAACAAAGAGGCAGACGGCACGGGGGCAGGCTCCGTGCCACCAAAAGTGAACCCTCCCTTGGTGGCGGGCGTGTCTTCTTTGTTTGCTTCTGACGTCTTCCCTGTGAACGGAGCCACCGAAACGCTCTTGGCTCCTATGGCTCCAAAGCTGAAGCTGCTCTTGTTCTCAGCGGTCACCCCAGTGACGGCAGCAGCAGGTGCCGGGTTAATGACACCTGTACCAAAACTAAAGCCTGTAGATGAAGATTTAGGGAGCTCCTCTTTCTTCTCTTGCTGCCCAAGATTAGACACCCCAAACTGAAACGGAGCTAACGATGCCGTATTGCTTAAACCCGAAGAGAGTCCGAACTTAAAACCATTATCGTTCTTGTTGTCCTTTTTAGCTTCTTCAGGCTTGGACTCGGACGAAACTCCAAACTTAAAATCTCCTATTGGTTTTGAAAATTTAAAGCCTTCACTCATGGAGTTTGGAGACTCAGAATCTGAAGACACACCTATTTTGAAGCCTCCCTGCTCTCCAAATTTAAAATCTCCAGTGCTTGTTAAAGTCTGAGAAGGCCCAGAAGACGATGACGGGAGACCAAATTTGAAGGATGAGGCAGCTGGGTTTGGAGACGGGGAAGACGTGCCAAAGCCTTCAAAATATAAAAGACACCGAATTAATGCTATCCTCTCAAACAAGATGTACACCTGAAACAGAAAGAGAGACACAGGAATAACTTCGAAAAGGCCTATGGTGAAGAGTGAGGAAGTGGCAGTGAACGCCAACTAGTTGCCCAGTACTCAGCGTACGAATCACACCTCAATCCCCACAACCACACTGACATGCCACTTATCACCTGGGACACTGGCAGAGATCACATAAATTTGGTAAGACAGTAATGGCAAGGGGTCTAGGAAAAAGAGACACTTTATAGATTACAGGTGGATGTGTAAAATAGCATGAAATTTGTGGAAGGCAACTGTCAATATTTACCAAAATTTCCAAACACATGTATCCTCTGACCCAGCAATTCTAGGGCTACGTCCTTTTTTTTTTTTTTTTTAATTTTATTTATTCATTTACTTCCTTAAGAAAGGCAGACAGCCACACGCGGCACCTCATCTGGATGTGCCTGGAGTCTTGGAAGCTTGACTACCCTACATTCTGCAGGGAGCTCTCCTGGAGAGCTTGTCTGGAGGTTCTAGGAGGGGAGTGCAGCTACTTCTACACTTCTGCCTGAGCAACAGTCAGTCCCCCTCTGTCATGCAAGGTCATCCTCTTGGGCCCAGTGCACAGCTTCGGGAGGGAACCCACATGGAGCCGTGAGGGAGGAAGGGGACACCAGCCTAGCCAGCCACATGGGCCAAATCAACCCTGGAGATCACTCGGAGTGACAGATGTCACAGCCAGATGACCCTCACATCCTAAGTCTTTATTATTTTTTTTATAGAATAAAATTGGTTTCCATACAATATCCAGTGCTCATCCCAACAGGTGCCCTCCTCAGTGCCCATCACCCACTTTCCCCTCTCCCCCAGCTCCCATCAACCCTCACTTTGTTCTCAGTATTTAAGAATCTCTTATGGTTTGCCTCCCTATCTGTAACTTCCCCCCCCTTTCCCTCCCCCATGGTCTTCTGTTAAATAAGTCTTTATTTTAAAGAAACTCAAAGAAACATAAAATGCCATATGCAATCCCAGCAGCTATAAATGAAGAATAAAGAACAAAGGTGTGTCCAAGCTAATCTGTGATAAAAATCAAGGGGGCAGAAAGGCAGTATGATCTACATTTTCTAAAACAGACAGAAATAAAAATATATAGAATTTCTATATATAGAATTTGCTTATCATGTGCATAAATAAACTATGGAAAAGTTGTAAGGAACTAACCACAGTTATTACTGTTGGTAGGGGAGGAAGGATGGAAAATGAACCAATGGGGACAAGAGATAAACTTTTCTCTGTGAATCCTGTCGTAACTGGAGTTTGAAATCTTGTAAATGGGCTACTAATCAAAAATTTTTAAAAAGACTTCAGCATCAAAGAACCAGAAGAACTGCATAAGCAGAAGCTCACACTATATTGACAAGATCAAAGTCTTGGTTTCATAATGCTTTTTTGTAGCTGAGTAAACTAGAAACGCAGTACTTGACTGATGAGCTCAAAACAGATACAATTCGTGTGCCAAGATATTTACCCCTCATTCTGCTTACCCACGTATAAATAAGACCAATGACAGCCAAACTTTACAAGCCCTCAGACCTGCAGACCTTCCCCTCTTTAATGATGATACATTCCCTTCTTTTGCTAAGAAACGTAACTGAAAATTATCAGAATCTCCGAAGAGAGCGGCCTATCCACAAGGTCTCTAAATACCTTAAGCGATACTTCTTTAGACAGGAAGTTAAAAATGAAGGTGAAGACAACTCATTATCACCTCTGCCTCAAAGGGACAGATTTAAAGGGAAGCTGATTACTGTGCTGCAGGTAGAGAACATGGGAAAAGGACCACGAGGTTAACGACCTCAAGTGGGCTGGAAAGTAGGGATCTTCTACCACACCCAAATGCAGTGTTTTTCAAACCAGTTGTGACTCACTGTCGTGCAATTTTATGGGTTATAACCAGTAATTTTCTTCTAAATGAAAAAAGAAGAGAAACAGGGTAACTTAAACATACTAAAGAGTAAGAATTGACTTGTAAAACTTCTTTTCAATCATACAAACACCCTGTGCATGAGAGGGGGTCACAATGTAAAAGTTTAATGATTGGTTTCCAGTTAAAAAGTTTGAAAGCCACTAGTCCACAGAATTGTTCCGAGCAGATAAAGCTTGGCATTCTTTTTTAATGCCCGCACAGACTAACCTTCGAGGCCTATTCCCTTACAGATTAAACGCTTTCTCCCCTCTCCCTGACTGTTCCTTCAGATCTAAAATCTCTTCTCTTTCCCAGCTTTTATCAAGATTTTGACTGAAATGTACCTCATGTGAAGTATCAAATAAATCATTAATGACTACGAAGACGAAAAATTTGACCTCCATAGACAGTCTTAGCATAAATTATTTTTAGAGGTTCCTCCTTTATATTTACAGAACAAAATATGAAGAGGGCTCTTTTTCTGGGACATACCCTGGGAAACCAAATCCCACATCCAGAGTACTTACAATAAGGCTCTAGGGGTGTAAATTCCCAGATAAGAGGAAATTCATCTAGATGCCAAACAGGTTAACAATGAAAAACAAGCAACTGAAACTCTCTCAGATTCAACTACACAAGAGAGAAGTTCCTCACCCAGCTGCAGAGAAGATACCTCACTGCTGGCCAGTCTAATAATCTAACTTAACAGTAACTCAGACACAGATGTGAGGTCAAAATGTCCAAAACAATACCTTATTTTACATGCATTTTCAACAAGAGAAGGAACAATTTTTAAACTAAAGCTGTTTGCAAATATTTCACTTTAAAATGACGATACGAGGGGTGCCTGGGTGGCTCAGTCACTTGAGCATCCGACTTCAGCTCAGGTCATGATCTCACGGTCTCTGAGTTCGAGCCCCGCATCAGGCTCTGTGCAGACAGCTCAGAGCCTGGAGCCTGTTTCAGATTCTGTGTCTCCCTCTCTCTCCTCCCCTGTTCATGCTCTGTCTCTCTCTTCTTAAAAATAAATAAACGTTAATAAATAAAATAAAATGATGATACAAGGAGGCACTTCACCCAGGCCTTACCTTTGAACTCAGACTTTGTGCCTGGCTTTGCACTTTCGCATGCTATGCATTTGGTAGAGTCGGCTTTATTTTGCACTAGGCACACTTCACAGTCCCAGCTTCCCTCTGGTTTCTTGAACTTGTCTAACCCAAGGCAGCTTCCAGAAGACAGAGAGGCAGGGACGGTGCTGCTACTTGAAGCAGGTACTGAACTTCCTAAAAAAAAGTGAGGAAACACATAAAACTTCCAGTCCATGTTATGTCAATATCTTAAGACACCACTGGGGTGCCTGGGTGGCTCCGTCGGTTAAGCGTCCGACTTCAGCTCAGGTCACGATCTCGCGGTCCGTGGGTTCGAGCCCCGCGTCGGGCTCTGGGCTGATGGCTCAGAGCCTGGAGCCTGCTTCTGATTCTGTGTCTCCCTGTCTCTCTGCCCCTCCCCCGTTCATGCTCTGTCTCTGTCTCAAAAATAAATAAACGTTAAAAAAAAAAATTAAAAAAAAAAAAAAAGACACCACTAAGTCTAAGTGTTCAATTAGTGTTTCCTATTAAGACAGATAAAATGCCAGAAATATAAACTTCACATTGCTAAAAACAGTACAGACATCTCAGATTTCTTTTAATCTTATAAACAAGCAGCTTACGCTCACCCGGCCTAGTGATAGCTCTCTTCTTAATCTGAGGTCTGAATAACCATGGTTTAAAAAAAATTATCAGGACCACAAATCAGAACCTAAAAAACTAAAATGTTCTTGGAGCTCCCAGGGGGCTCAGTCAATTAAGTATTTGACTTTGGCTCAAGTCATGATCTCATAGTTTGTGGGTTCAAGCCCTGCATTGGGCTCTGTGCTGACAGCTCAGAGCCTGGAGCCTGCTTCGGATTCTGTGTCTCCCTCTCTCTCTGCTCCTCTCCCACTTGCACTCTGTGTCTCTCTCTCTCTCTCTCAAAAATAAGCAGTAAAAAAAATTTTTTTTAAAGTCAAAAAAATAAAACGTCCTTAAGAATATTTGTCAAACAATAGCCAAAGTATGGAAAAAGCCCAAATGTCCATTGACAGATGAATGGATAAAGATGTGGGGTGTGTGTGTGTGTGTGTGTATGTGTATACACATACACTCGGCAATCAAAAAGAATGAAATCTTGCCATCTACAATAATGTGGATGGAACTAGAGTGTATTATGCTAAGCGAAATTAGGCAGTAAGACAAATATATGACTTCACTCATATGTGGAATTTAAGATACGAAGCAGATGAACATAAGGGCAGGGAAACAAAACAAGATAAAAACAGGGAGGGAGACAAACATAAGAGACTCTTAAATACGGAGAACAAACTGAGGGTTGCTGGAGTAGCTGTGGGTAGGGGGATGGGCTAAATAGGCAAGGGGCATTAAGGAGGACACTTGTTGGGATGAGCACTGGGTGTTATATGCAGGGGATGAATCACTGGATTCTACTCCTGAAAGCATTATTGCACTACATGCTAACTAACTTGGATATAAATTTTTAAAAAAATAGAAAAAAAAAAAAAGGAATTTTTGTCAGATTTCTTCAAACAGCACAACATTTTAAACGAACATATAAGAGGCACCTGGGTGGCTCAGTAGAATAAACATCTGAGTTCAACTCAGGTCATGATTTCTCAGTTGGTGAGTTCGAGCCTCTGAGCTGTCAGCACAGAGCCTGGAGCAGACTTTGGATCCTGTATCTCCCTCTCTCTCTGTGCCTCCCCTCGCTCACACTGTCTCAAAAATAAACATTAAAAAAATTTTCACATTTATATATATATGTGTATACATATACACACATACATACATACATACATACATACATAAGATATAAATCGCAGGCAATAATATCCTAACACATAAAATACACGGCCACAGACCACACCAATTTTAAGATTTTAAAGCACAGGTCTCTGCCTTTGAAATGATCAGTTTTGCACAGAAGTGTTCTATCATCCACTTTGCATTTCGACTCACCACCACCTACTGTGTTCATGGCATTAGTATTTAACAGACATTTATTAAGGTTCTAAGGACATAAAGACAACTGAAATGCTGCTTACCTTCTAAAAGTGCTAACGGTCTAAGAAGGGGGCAAGTAAACACACACACACAGTAATCCCATCACCAAAAAGGAAAGTGATATATGAAGAAGGAAGGAAGTGACTAAGGGGCAGCAGAACGGATTCACAGACGTGACATTTCAATTCTGAGACAGAACTAGAAGTTTGTAGGGAGCACGGGGCGGGGGGCGGGGGGGGCATGGGAAGGTGGCTCCACAAAGCGATCAAGAAGCCTGTGTGTTAGGAGCAGAGCCATCCATCTGGCGCCTCCCGTTCCCACATGTTCTCTGACTGTCACCCCTCCCAGCCACTGGTCTCTGTTCCACCGCTATGCTGTCTTCCACCTTGCCAATAAAACCACTCTCAGAGGTTCCATCTTTGGTCCGCTGTCCTCCTCTTGAGTCTCATCTACTCGGACGGTTTCCTGACCTGTACCTGCGGTCCCCTTCTCAGCTGTAGGGCCACCTTCTACCTGGTTAGCGTGGCTCACGTCTCCTCCTGCCTCACACGTTTCTATCTATCTCATCCCCTTCTGCTGAGCCCACCACCGCCGCTCTATGCCAAGCGGCCCTCACCTCTTGTTTGAACAACAGCCTTCTCACTGAGACCTCTGCTCTCGTTCCCTGCAATCCATCCTGCTGCAAAGCAACCGGTGCCAAGTAGGTTTTGGTTTTCCTCACTGGTTCCTCCTTTAAAATGAACCATTCCAAAGCTTTGTTCCTGCCACTCCCTTAAGATGGAGGAGCGCAGGTTTAGGCCATCTCCTCTACCCCCTCCCTCCCTCACTTTACGTCGCCTCTGCTCCCATGGCTTATTTGAAAACTGTAGCCTGATGACTCTCATATATGTGTCTCCAGCCCCGAGTATCCGTTACGGTACATCCCGAGTCCTCACGTATATGTGAGCATGGGCTGCACAGCTTCAAATCACCATGTCTTCAGCTACGCCGTATTCTACGCCCAACCTGACCGCACCAGCACATATCACTGTTCTCTGGGCCTGTATGTATTACCGCTACAACCTCCCATCTGTCCTCTGGTCTCCAAATTTCACTGCCTTCAAATCGACCCTCCAAAAAGCCACCAGGCAATGTGTCAAAAATACAAATTTAACTACATCACTCCTTTGCTTAAAATGATGGTTCATCATTGACGGGATGATGTCTGATTTATGTAATAAATATATGAGCTTTCTTTATTTGTGAGTAACAATTTACTTCCTAACTCAGTTTTATTCTCCCAATCAACTCAATTAATTTTGGTTTCTTGCATGATCAAGGGCCTGTTTTTGTTTTTCTTTTTTTTTTTTTTTTTTAAGAGGAGGAAGAGGTATGCCAGCTGGAAGGAGAAAGTTATTTCAGAACGAAGCCTCTGAAATCTTACTCCTCTGGAGATGTCCAGTAAGAATTAGAGATACGGCTCACCTCTTGTGTTCAAACATGGGGTATAGGCTAACAAACCCGGAGCTCTCCACTGCAGACAGAAGACTACACATCCATGAATAATGCAATAAAAAAGGAAGTGTAATTCCCAGGATATCCATAACAGTTTTTATTTAATACCCATGTTACTATACATCGGTACCAAATAATTATATGAGATTACAAAAATATTAAAGAGTCATTTCCAGATGGGACTCTTCAGTAACTTTTTCAAATTTGAACAGAGAAACAGGAAAAACTCAAGCCTAACTCCCTTCTTCTTGCTGTCAGGTTAGAATGTTTTCATTAGTGACTCAGTAATTGACTATCCTTGCAACACCTCTGGCAGCTGGCATACAGGTACAGGTCTCCGCATTAATATTCAGCCACAGCTGTTTCAAAAGGCAAGACTTCCTACCGCTTAGTGAAACCTTCTCTGGGAATGACCATCTGTCATCCTCACTTGCACTTCAAGGAAAAGAGACAAAGTGACATTTTGTTCTGGATAACGGTGGAGAAAGACTGCCCCTTCTAAGTTCCTTCAGCATCTGTATTAGTCAGCTTTGAAAACGATCATGAGGGGCGCCTGGGTGGCGCAGTCGGTTAAGCGTCCGACTTCAGCCAGGTCACGATCTCGCGATCCGTGAGTTCGAGCCCCGCGTCGGGCTCTGGGCTGATGGCTCAGAGCCTGGAGCCTGTTTCCGATTCTGTGTCTCCCTCTCTCTCTGCCCCTCCCCCGTTCATGCTCTGTCTCTCTCTGTCCCAAAAATAAATAAACGTTGAAAAAAAATTTAAAAAAAAAAAAAAAGAAAAGAAAACGATCATGAAAAGCAAAGTTTCTGATAAAGTGTACATAAAAAAGAGGTAGAAGTATACACTGGGCTATCCTGAGAGAACACACAGATCCAGTCCCAGGTAAGTCATTTTGCCTCAGACAGCTTAGAAAAATTAAGATGTAGGAGGAAATGCTCATCCTGAAACATTAAAAATATTAAGGCTGTTCTTAGCAGAGAAGTGTAAGTGTTCTACTAAAATAACCAACAAAATGATCTCAAACAGCCATACACGTACCTGGCTTCTCAGACACACAGGACACACATTTACTGTCTTCTCCATTATTAGAAACACAGCATACTGGACACTCCCAAGATCCCAGGGGCCTTTTAAATTTATCTGCGAATCCTACGGCGCCCGTGGTCACAGTGCAGGTGGGAGGTGCGGCGGCCACGGGCACAGCGCTCGCCGCAGCCACTGGCAGCGTAAGGACTCGCTTCACACCAGTTCCGGGTTTTGGTGTCTCACAAGCTACGCATTTCATCGCTTCGGGTTTGTTTTGCACTAAACAGGTGTCACAATCCCAGGTCCCGACTGCTGGTTTAAATCTGTCTCCAAAACCCGTCCCTGATGTAGAGAGAGTTGACTTGTCACTTTTGCTTGGTGCTCCGATTCCAGTTTGTTTAGCAGTATCTTTTGCTGGCAATTTTGTTGCCTGACAGGCTATGCACTTGCCGTCTGTAGCTTTGTTCTGGAGCAGACAAGTATCACACTGCCACGACGACGATCCAGATGACCCAGATTTTACACTTTCTCCAAACCCAACTCCCCCAGAAGAAAAACTACTTATTGCTGGTCTTGTATAAACTACTGGGCTTGTGGTACTAGGCTGAGCAGCAAGAGAATCTGCCTTTGGTGATGTGAAACCTGTAATAGGGAAAAGAGTGTAAGTTAAAAAGAAAAAAGAGAGAGAGACAGAGAGACACAGAGAGAAGCTCTCTAATCAGAACATTAACTGAAATGCTATTACTGGGAGAACATGTATTTACACACATTTATTTGCAGAGTTCCTAAATCCCAACATGAGCTACTTAAAAGTAGAGTTGTTTTTCACCTAAGCAATATTTAAAAAATTTTTTTAACATTTATTCATTTAAAAAAAAATTTTTTTTTAAGTTTCTTTATTTTGAGAGACAGAGAAAGCAGAGGAGGGGCAGAGAAAGAGGGAAAGAGAGAATCCCAGGCAGGCTCCATGCTGTCAGCGCGGAGCCCGATGTGGGGCTTGAACTCACGAACCATGAGATCATGACCTGAGCCGAAACCAAGAGTCGGATCCTCAACCTACTGAGCCACCCAGGCACCCCAACATGTATTCATTTTTGAGAGACAGAGACAGAGCATGAGCAGAGGAGGGGCAGAGAGGAGGGAGACACAAAATCTAAAGGAGGCTCCAGGCCCCCAGCTGTCAGCAGAGTCAGATGCAGGGTTCAAACCCACAAACCGTGAGATCATGACCTGAGCCAAAGTCAGACGTTCAAGTGACTGAGCCACCCAGGTGCCCCAGCAGCCGTTTTGTTTGTTTTGTTTTGTTTTCCATTTGTTTTTTTAAGTTTATTTATTTTGAGAGAGAGAGCAGGAATTGGGTAGGGGCAGAGAGAGAGAATACCAAGCAGGTTCCGCATCATCACCACAAGGCCTGATGCAAGGCTCGAACCCACAACCCTGGGATCATAACCTGCGCTGAAATCAAGAGTCGGATGTTTAACCAACTGAGCCACCCAGGTGTCCCAGCAGTTTTTATTAATCACATAATCAGTAAGTGACACTCAGACCTAGTTAAAATCCTACAAAAGATGTATTGTTTATAGTGTATCACCTTCTTCCTCTAGGAATTTCTACTTACTATAATTCAACCAATATCTAATTTGAGGCTTTGATCTGTAGTAATTTACTGACACACCCCTCGGGCATCTAGGTTTTGCTACACTCTTGCTGCAATACAGATCTGCAGTATATTCACAGCCTTCCTCCCGCATCTATTTTTTCCTTCAGGTGTTCTCCTGGCTATGCCAAATGTCTTCAACATCGATAATCTTTGAATTCTGCCCACTTATAACCCACTGTTGTGGTATCCTCTACTTTCAGTGCACGCAGCTGAGCTGAGCAGGCATGCATATTAGACAGATGTCCCTCCAAAGTACAACGGAGTTGTAAGGACTGGTCTTAATTATACTAAGTTCATACAGGACTTTAAAATGGTAACAGTTCAATGAGAAACACGATGTAAATTCCAACAGAGAAGAACCAAACCATCTGGCAAGGTCTAGAAATTACAGAAATGAAGACCCAGCCCACCCTCGAGGAGCATGAGCTCATGCTACTCAAAGACCTGCCCATGGGAAGTCACCAAACCCTAACGCAGACAAACGGCCTCCAACAGTTCTCCAATATAATCACAGAACCTTTCACACTGCAAGGGTCCCCTTTTGGTAACCACTAAAGGTGTACTCAGACAATTAAGGCATTTGCACAGAACCATGGAATCACAGGAACCGAAAAAGTCTCCGCACTACCAGAACTGCTGTCATTGAACCGAATCGATTCGCTCCAACTTGTATCCACGGGAATGACCTTCCAATCCTTTACTTTGGACCAATTAACCTTTGTTTTACACATGCCAATAAACTCAGTGACCTGTTTTTCCAGCTCATGGCACCAAACGAAAAGAAAAGTGGAGGGTAAGGAGATATAAAAGATTTTGAGATTTTCCAGTGCTACAATTAATCCAACCTAGAGCTAGTTTTAGCATAAAGGCAAAACCCATATACTTCACTTACTCCCAGTAGTCTAAAATGTACTGTTTTGTTAATGATTAATTTGAGTCACTAAGGTTGGCATCATTTTAACAGTAATCATCTCAAGATTTTAGAGACTTATTTTCCTTCCCCCTTTTCAAGTTTTTCTAATTTCTCTCAAAAGAACACAGGGCTCCAAATTCTTGCTATTTAAAGAAAATTAAAGGGGAGGAGGAGTGGGCATCATGAATGCAAAGTATAACTTATATAAAGATAGAGCATATGAATTTGATGCATATCTACCACTCAGTTAACTAGCACAGGCGCCCTGGAGCTCTGCCCCAATGGTGTCAAATCGTCTAAATTGCTGGGACCCTTGTAGGCAGTGTACTCATCTATAAAACGAGAAAGCTAGACCAGAGAGACCTAAATCTGGCTGCAGAAGCCATTCTTATCTGGAAATTCTTACTCGATTATACATGAGCACATCTATCTGCTAGGTAAATCTAAATTTTCTCTGAGTGACTAGATCACCTTATAAACATTTATACATTCCTATAGTACACGTCACAATCGGAATTGTATCTATCCTCTGTTTTTCAAATTGAAAACTTTTTCCTATTTGATGACTTCTATTCATTGCCTTCAAGTTATTTATTACTAGCTTTCAATTCTTGTTTCAAGTGACTACTGTCCCTTACATATATGTATGTTCGAATCATCCAATGTTATCTTTCTGTTTGGTCTTGTTATAAGACGATCACAACTGGGCAGTAATCTGAGAACAAGGCAGGTCAGCATCTCATCAGAGAAAGATATGTGCAGGTATATCATCAGGTTTATTTACTTGTATTCCATATTGGCCTATCTCTATTAAAAGGCAATTCATTTTCCCTTCTACACTTGCCTCTTTCTCCTGCTATCCTCACCTCCTTAAGAGATGTCATTTTAGGACAGTCTTTGAATTCTAAACAAGTAGAGTTTCTAAGATATTTACTCCAGAAGAATTGCATCTAACTACATCTACATTCAAGTCAATTTCCCAATTTATGCCACACATGACATTAAAATAGGACCACAAATCTGTAATGAAGATTTTAGAGTATGTCAAAGGCAGCTCTTATCTTACCAGGGCTTTTGAGAACATCTAGGACACTTCCTTCTTTCAGGGTTTTTGCAGGTCTAAAAGGACCCTCACAATCTTCATCTGGCTGCTTCTTACAGCTTGTACTATTCACTGCATTGGTATCTTGAGCTGTAGAAAAGATACTATGTCAAGAAGAAGCACCGGATCAAGTTAAATGTATTAAAGAGAGCTTTCAAAGCCAATTTGGATCAACTTCTAAAACATCATGAAAGTCACTGTAATTCAAAGATAATGGACAAATTTACTTAAAAATACAAGGTTAATTTGCTAGTACAAGAAAGCAAAGATAATATTTCCCATACTATACACTGTACATTTTTCTCCTCCAAAAAGGCAAAAAGTATGAACTATAATTGTTACCCAATAAATTAACTGGTAATCAAAACAATCAAACTCCAACACTGGAGAGGTTATGGCACCTGGAGCAAGCTCCCAAACTACAAGAAATATGCATCTGACTACACAGCAATTTACAGTACTGATTGAACCAAACTTTCAAATAAATACTCAACTGAGCAGTTATTTCATTTCTAGAAATTGATCCTATGATTAAAAATATCCTTCAGTTATAATATTGAAAATCTGGATGATAGGGGCGCCTGGGTGGCGCAGTCGGTTAAGCGTCCGACTTCAGCCAGGTCACGATCTCGCGGTCCGTGAGTTCGAGCCCCGCGTCGGGCTCTGGGCTGATGGCTCGGAGCCTGGGGCCTGTTTCCGATTCTGTGTCTCCCTCTCTCTCCGCCCCTCCCCCGTTCATGGTCTGTCTCTCTCTGTCCCAAAAATAAATAAAAACGTTGAAAAAAAAATTTAAAAAAAAAAAAAAAAAAAAAAAAAAAAAAAAAAAAAAAAAAAAAAAAAGAAAATCTGGATGATAAATGCTCAATAAGGGACTGAGTCTGTCAATTACAGAATACCGACATGATAGATTACTATGTGGCCACAAAACATTCTCAAAAGCACAGTTAAAAAGACGAGTTAAAAAGCCCAGAAGATTGTGAATGATACAAGAGTAATGGTGGCTGCCAGTGTTGAGTGACTTTTTACTTACTGCTTCTACTTTTTATGTTTCCTAAATTTTCCAAAATAAATATACCCTTAGACTTAAAATAAGAAATCTATGTTTTCAGTATGATAATGGCTTTGTGGTTCTATTTTTAAGGGGGAAAGTTTCTGTTTACAGCTGAAATATGTGTGGAACTGTTTCGATATAACCTGATAGGTGTGTTTCTGTGTGTGAGAAGGAAGGGGAAAGGAGAGAAAGAGAAACAAGACTGGCCAAAAAATGCGAAGTGTCGAAGCTGGGTAAACAGTACATGGAAATTCAGTCTACTATTTCCGAAAATGTTTCAAGTTTTCCATAATAAAATACAAGCAAGGTTTTTCTTCAGTGTTTGCCAATTTTAAAAGGAGTAGAGAAGTTTCAAAAAAATCCTACCTACCTCTACCTCACGCCATAAACAAAAATTAATACAAAATGGATCAATGATCTAAACATGAGAACTAAAACCATAAAATTCTCAGAAGAAAATCCAGGAGATATATGTTCATGACCATGGATTTGGCAATAGATTCTCAGATATGACATCAAAAGCACAAGAAAAAAATCTGAACTTCGCCACAATTAAAAACCTTTGTGAATCGAAGGACATTACCAAGAAAGTGTAAAGACAATCTACGGAACGGGAGAAATTATTTGCAAATCATGTATCTTAAGGATCTAATATCCAGACTACATAAAACTGCTAACATCTCAGCAACAAAAAGACAAACCAACTTAAAAATGGGCAAAGGACTTGAATGGACATTTCTCCCAAGAAGATAAAGGGCCAACTAGCACATGAAAATATGCTCCATTATGCACCATTAGCCATTAGAGAAATGTAAATCGAAACCAAAAAGAAGCATCACTTCACACCCACTAAGATGGCTACCAACACAAAGTGAAAAGTACACATGGTGAGAATGTGGAGAAATTAGAATCCTCATACACTGCTAGTGGCAATGTGCAAGGAACCAGTGGCTGAGAAAAACAGTTCTGTGGTTCCTCAAAAAGTTACACATAGAACTGCCATTTGACCACCAACTCCATTTCTAGGTATATACCCCAGAGCACTGAAACCACTATCCAAATAAATACGTGTACCTGAATTTTCATACCAGCACTATGCACAATAGCCAAAAGCTGGCAACAGTCCAAAAGTCCATCAATGGATGAATAGAACTATGATATATCCATACAATGGAACTTCACTCAGCCATAAAAGGAATGAAATTCTAGGGTGCCCGGCTGGCTCGGTAAGTAGAGCATATGACTCTTAAACTCAGGGTCTTGAGTTCAAGCCCCATATTGGGCATGGAGCCTACTTCGAATAAAAAGTAAGTAAATAAATAAATTTTACAAAGAAAAAAGAGTGAAGTACTGATAAATACTGTAACACAGATGAACCCTGAAAACAAGTAAAGGAAGCTAGATGCAAAAATCACATGGCAGGATTCCAGAATAGGTACATACATACAAACAAAACACAGACTCGTAGTTGATAGGAGGTGGGGGAGAAGAAATGCGGAATGACTGTTATTTAATAGGTACAGGTTTCCTTTGTAGGGGGTGATAAGAATGTTCTAGAACTAGACAGGCTGTGGTAGTTGCACACCACGAATGTACTGAACACCACTGAATCTGTTCCCTTTCAAATGATTAATTTTATCTCACATGAATCTCACCACAGTAACAAAAACATACAAGAAACAAAACACTGTACCCACTACGTTTTACTGTGTCAAAACAAAACATACAATTGTATCACTTTGTCATAGTCTATCCTCCTTTAGAATAAAAATGGCACTGCTTTTAGTAATTTTTTAAAGTAAATTTTAAGGATACCCTGAAGTGTATTCAAACTGCTGGAAAAAGATAGTGGAAAAATTAGCACCTGCCATAAAGTAATTAATCATGACTTCTACATTTTCAAGCAGCTTGTTAATGTCAAAGTGGTGAGAATCACTGTCACAATTCTATACATGCCACTTATAATAAATGCCTTAAAAATATGGATAATTTCCCAGATGTAATGAAATACAAAGGTTGAACAAGCTGCCGCTCATCCAGTTATCACCAATAACGCATTAGTAAAAACTGGAGGATTGTCATGCCTTTCCTCGTAACCAGGTGTGAAAATGGTCATTTGCAGAAGTTTTTTTTTTAAATATGTATTTACTTATTTTAAGAGAGAAAGCGTGAGAGAGGCAGAGAGAGGAGAGTGAAAGAACTCCAAGCAAGCTGCACACTATCAGCATAGATCCCAACGCAGGGCTCCAACTCACGAACCGTGAGATCATGACCTGAGCCAAAACCAAGAGTTGAGCACTTAACCAACTGAGCCCCCCAGGCGCCCCAGGAATTTGTAGAAGTGTATTCCTCTTGAATTCATAATAACATTGAAGAAAAAATTCGTGGTAAAAAGTATACCTGAAATGTGCCTGTTATACTTTCTCTTACACAAGGCTGTTTTAGTCAAAAAAAAACAAGACTGCAAACATACCAAATTCCTATTTTGTGCCACTCTCATAATCTATGCTCTTATCTTCCAGCTCATCCAGAGCTAGAACATCTGGCTTCTATGTCCTAGCTCTTTGGTTGTTGTTGTTGGTTGCTGCTGCTGCTGTTTTTACTCTACCCTTTGAGGGAGGATCTAGTATTTTTTAAATTCCAAAACTATGAGGTAAAAAAACTGAGATAGACAAATACACGCTTCTGGATAGGGCGACAGAACTTAACTGATATCTCAGCCTGTAAAGCCCCGCCCCCAAACCACTCCTCACTTGGGGACACGGCTGTCACTCCACGACACCCAGCTCACACCATTTAAAATCACTGTCTTCCTACTACATTCAGATTAAAATCCAATTCTTTCAGCATGGCATTCAAGAATTTTTAGAACTTAAAGCTACTTCTTAGCTTTATTACAAAAGATCTACAGATTTTGAAGAATATCATCCTTTTTTCTCTAACTCCCACAGCCCTGCACTTGCTGTGTGTCTCTGGAGTAAAATGCCCTTGCTCAAAACGTCCTGAGGTGAGTAACTTAGCCCAGATGGTTCTCCAGTTCCTGAACAGCAAACACTTGAAAGAAAACCACCACCATCACAACAAAATCCCATGATTTAATTATCTGCTTGCTCATTTCTTTCCTTCAACTACCCCCATTCCTGAAATATTATGTATCACTACCTGCAGAGGCCAGCATAACCCTAACACATAAAAATGTTTGTGAACTGAACACTAAACCCAGAGATGGGATCCACGATCATTAGAATTTCACCTCGATAACAAATGTAAACAACACCTGAATTTCTTATGAGAGTTCATTTATAATAAACTGTCACCTTTATGGATATACTGCTGGTATGACTATCCCTTCCCATAACTGAACTGTGTAACATATCCATTTAGTGAGCGGTTTCTGAGAAGGTTACTAAAAACTATTGTCAAAGGTTGATATTAGCTCCTGTCCGCTTTTTAGAGCTAATTTCATTCAAATGAATTTATAAGAACTGCCAAAGACTAAAGAAAGAATTTGAAATACTAATCTAATGCATGCAACCATTTTTATGTAACAACTTGGGAGAAATTTTTACTTACCTAAACTACTACTTGTAATTGGTTCTGAAATACTACTAGAGCCAGAAAGTTCTGTTGTTTTCGCAACAGGCACACTAAACGTAAATCCAATCTGTAAGGAGAAAAGGTATCCTTAATAGTCTACTTAGCTTTAAAACAAAATATCAAATATGGAGCTTTTTCTTATTCCAAGTCAAAAAAAAAAAAAGAGACACTGAATTTCATGTAGAGATTTTACAATCTCCAAAATTGAGATGCTTCTTATAATGAATGGTGTGTTAGGTCTAAACAGCATTTTCAATTTCTTAGGCATTTTTTTCATTCAAAGCAGTACATAAAGTAATAACGTGCTCCCAATGCTCATTTCTAGGTTTCTAAATGCCATTTTCCAATAAAACACTGAGATTTTATGGACAGTGGACAGGTTTCAGGCACACAGCAGGGATTACATACAATATGATCTGGAATATCTAGCAGTAACCAAAAACAAGAGCACAGTGAAAAACACAAGGCAGCATGTAAAAATGATATGCATGCCAAAGATGCATGGGGCAACTTGAACATTAAACTTCTATCACTCAAAACACCTTTTTTTTTTAAAATTTAATTTAATTTTTTAAATTTACATCCAAGTTAGTTAGCATACAGTGCAACAATGATTTCAGGAGTAGATTCCTTAATGCCCCTTACCCATTTAGCCCATCCCCCCGTTCTAAAACCCCTCCAGTAACCCTCTGTTTGTTCTCCATATTTAAGAACCTCTTATGTTTTGTCCCCCTCCCTGTTTTTATAGTATTTTTGCTTCCCTTCCCTTGTAAAACACCTCTTTCTTAATTATGAAGAAATATGTATTATGAGGCATAAAAACCCAAAACTTTTCCAGATTAAAGGCAATTCAACAAACATGTTAACCAAATGCAATGCAATTTAGTTGATCAGGTCTTGATCTTTACTGGATCTGGGCCATTAAAGGACAGTCTGGGGCCAATGGGGAAATCTGAATATGGACATTATTATTATACTATGTTACAATTTCATGGATAGAATTGTATTGTGGGTGTGCAAAGGAATGTCCTTTTTTCTTAGGGGACATATGGAAAAGGTGTAAAGGTATCAAGATGTTTGCATCTTAACTTTCAAATGATCACGAGAAAATACACATGCTTGTGTGTGTGTGTAGTGAAAAATAAACAGGTGTTCACTCATTCAAGATTTCTATACACTGACTTTTTTAGGTTGGAAGAAAAACAATGGTATTTCTTACCACCAATGGCATCTTGGATTTTAAAAATACAGTATGCTTCTGAAATCAGTATGAAATATTCCTTGCTTGCTACTTACAGATGACGGAGGTAGAACATCTGCCTCAGTAGATTTTACAATTGGAGATGAAAATCGAAACATGGGACTGCCAGGACTGTTTGGAGAGGCCATTTGTACCTGGTTTTCCAAATTATTAAAATAACACAAAGAGTTTTTAGTAAAAGTAATCGACAATAAAACAGACCTTAACTTAAGCAAATTATTTCAAAGAAGCCAAAAGCAATTTATTTCCTTTTAGATTTAAAAATCACTTGTTAAGGGGCACCCAGCTGGCTCAGTCAGTAGAGCATGAGACTCTTGATCTTGGGGTTGTGAGCTCCAGCCCCACGATGGGGGTAGATTATTTAAAAATAAAATCTTAAAAAAATTAGTAAAATAATAATTTGTTAAAACTTGTGAAAAATAAATGGTAACTACTATAAAATCTGGCTTCTCCTTGGACGAGGAGTATACACTATCTTAGAGGTAGGTGAGTATTTATCTAAAGGAAAAAAATACCATCCATAAGAATATGTTCAGAAAAAGTAAAAGCCAGGACAAAATCATAAAAATTTTCAGGAGTAGTTAATCCTACCTGAGAAATAAAAACATAAACCCAATCTTACAAAAAAAAAAAAAGTATCTTAAATCAGAAACATTGGAAACAAACTTATAATCATCAATCTCTAAGGCATTGCATAAGAATTAAACAGCACTCCATTATAATGTATCCCTTTATAACATACACTTTAAAAAGCAAAACACCATTTCCATTTTTCTTATTCTCAATTTCCATAGCAAGAACTTAACGCTTCAAACAGAATATAGTATTTTTTTTTAAATAAGGAACAAAAATCACCTCTATTTGTACAATAGTTTTGTACCTTGTTTGTCAGTGATTGTGAAGGACTAACGGGTGATGGAGAGGAAGTTGTGATCACAGAGGAACTAAAATTGAAGGTAGGCAGTGAAGAACTGGTGATGGGTAGAGAGATTTTCGGCAATAATGGCACTTCCATTTCCTAAAACACAACATGTGTCATAATGATAGATTTCATCTTTCAAATCATTCTTTTATCCCTACTTACTTTCAGGTGGAACTGAGAACAGGGAGGAGGCAGCAGCATACAGGGTTAACAATGTGGGCTCAACGTGGATGGAACTGGAGAGTGTTATGCTAAGTGAAATAAGTCATACAGAGAAAGACAGCATATATTTTCACTCTTATGTGGATCCTGAGAAACTTAACAGAAGACCATGGGGGAGGGGAAGGAAAGAAAAAAAAAAAAGAGAGGGAGGGAGCCAAACCATAAGATACTCTTAAAACACTGAGAGCAATCTGAGGGTTGATGGGGATGGGAGGGAGGGGAGGGTGGGTGATGGGTACTGAGGAGGGCACCTGTTGGGATGAGCACTGGGTGTTGGTATGGAAACCAATTTGACAATAAATTTCATATTAAAAAAATAATCAGTCAAAAAAAAAAAAAACCACAATGTGGGCTCTCAAATCAAAAGAAATGAACAAGATTTGAATCCCAGCTGTGCCACCACCAGACCTGGTGGCTTCGTGAACCTAACTGCCCTCAGTACAAATTTCCTAATGGCTGAAAATGAGGAAAAAATTACACCACCATTGTATTAATATAAGACATAAAGTTATACATGGCCTTGGCACGTAAAACAAGCATTTAATAAACATCAGTACCAATGAGTTTGGTGAAATGCCTTGGTTTTTTATCCCAATATACTAAAGACCACTCTGAATCTCAAGCAACCCAGAGTTGGAAGGCAAGCAGAGTTGTGCTTCTGCTGATGGTGCAATAGCTCGTATCTGAACATTGACCTGACAAATAACAGTTGTAAACCCTAAACAAAATAGAAACAACCATATGAAAACACTGCCAAGCAACCAGAAGCAAGAGCGACCAGAAACAAGCACAAACTGCAGAGATGAAAACCACGTGGAAGAAGCGAGGAGCACTGGGTAAGTTTCCTGCACTCTTTCGGAGTTAGTACCACTACATCAATTGAAATGGAGAGAGAACGGCAAATGTGTTCACTGAGGAATCAGGGGACAGGCTAGGTGAGCACAGCAGCTCAAAACTTGAGGGGAGATGCAGGAATGGGGAACTTATAGATCTGCATATAAACTGTCCAAGCTTCTAGCAGACCTGTAATCTGCTCGCGTGCAAGGCAGACACCAAGGAGCCAACTTAGCAGAGTTCCAGCTGCCACCCACCACAAGTGGGAGAAGAGTTTGACTTCAGGTTAAATCTCCTACCGGCTAAAAACCATGTGAATACTACAAATGGATGTCGTTTATGGTACACAAATCACAGCTCTGTAAAGTCGACCCCTCCACCCAAAGGAAAAATAAAGATGCTTTCAGATAAAAGAAAATTAAAACAATCTGTTGCCATAAAACATGCTCTGCAACTTCTTCAGGGCGAAGGGACAGAATAACAAATGGAACTCAGATTTCTGGAGATATGAACAATATGTGAGCAAACACAAAAAACTGTTTTTCCTCTTAATTTCTTGAAAACACATATAATTGTACATGGGGCACCTGGGGGGGCTCAGTCAGTTAAGTGTCCAACTTCACCTCGGGACATGATCTCACAGTTCATGAGTTTGAGCCTCAGGTTGGGCTCTGTGCTATAGCACAGAGCCTGCTGAGGATTCTCTGTCTCCCTCTCTCTCTATCCCTCCCCCGCACTGTTTCTCTTTCTCAAAATAAATAAACTTGAGAAAAATTATTTAGAAAAAAATAATAAAATACATATAACTGTATAAAGCAAAAACTATGCACTATGGGTTTAAAGCCTATCTTATTTTAATACAAATGACAAGTATAACCTGAAATACTAAAGAAGGGCAGTAAATCAAACTATAAAGTTGCAAGATTCTTAAATTTTGCAGGAAGTAGTACAATATTAACACAGAGTAGAATGTGGAAGTTAAGGATACATATAGTAAAATTCTAAGAGGAACCACTAAAAGTGGCATGCAGAGGTAGAGATAAAAAGCAAAGTAATTAAAATGTAATTATAACATTAACCAAAATACAGCTTTCCAAAGAAGGCAAACCAAAAAATGGGAAAAGAAGAAAACAAGATAAAAATGGGAGACCTTAATCCAATACAGACACACACACACACACATATATGTAACTATAATGTTACTTACGTTAATTATAAATAAACATTCCAATTAAAAGGCAAAAAAACAGATAAAAAGGACAGACTAACCTATATACTGTCTATAAGAAACTCACTTAAAAAGACAGAAGTTAAAAGGAATTGGATGGGGGCACCTGGGTGGCTCAGTCAGTTAAGCCGACTTCAGTTCAGGTCGTGATCTCATTGTTCGTGAGTTTGAGCCCCACACCAGGCTCTGTGCTGACAGTGCACAGCCTGTTTGAGATTCTCTCTATCCCTCTCTCTCTGCCCCTCCTCATTCTCTCTCAAAAATAAACAGTTAAAAAAGAAAAAAAAAGGCAAATGGTTGGGAAAAGATATAACCTGTAATTAGTAAGCCTAAGAAGGCCTATTCTAACAGAGGCTAGCTATATTAATACCAGATATTGCAGATGTCAAGACAAAGAACATCTCCAAAGATTTTTTTTTAAAGAACATTTAATAATATTAAAGGAGGCAAATCACTGAGGAGCCATGATAGACGTTAAGGTGTATGCTTTAATGAGGGCTTCAAAATATGTAAAGCAAAAACTGACATAAGGGGGAAAAGACAAATCCACCAGATGAAAGTGGACAATTTTAACTCCTATCTCTCAACAATTTTTTTTTTTTTTTATTTTTTAAATTTTTTTTTTTTTTTTCAACGTTTATTTATTTTTGGGACAGAGAGAGACAGAGCATGAACGGGGGAGGGGCAGAGAGAGAGGGAGACACAGAATCGGAAACAGGCTCCAGGCTCTGAGCCATCAGCCCAGAGCCCGACGCGGGGCTCGAACTCACGGACCGCGAGATCGTGACCTGGCTGAAGTCGGACGCTTAACCGACTGCGCCACCCAGGCGCCCCTATCTCTCAACAATTTAATAGACTAACCAGACACGCCCCACACCCTGGAAAAAAAATTCAGCAAGAACAAAGATGATCTAAGAAATACTACCAGTCATGTGACACTTTATATAACACTATACCCAACAACTGTAAAATACAGTCTTACAATGAGATACCACCATATACAAAGCAGAATGGCTAAAGTTAAATGATGACAACTATTAATAAGGATGAAGAGTGAAAGAAATACTGACACACTGTTGGTGAGGGTATAAAATATTATATTCACTTTGGAAAAGAGGTTGGCATTTCTTAGAAAGTTAAACACATATCATACAACCTAGCTCCTCCACTTCTACGTTATTTACCCCCAAGAGAAATCAACACATGTCTACAAAGCACTACCAGAATGTTCATAGCACCTTTATTCATAATAGCCAGGCATTAAAGAACACACACACTGCATAACTGTATTAATATGAAGTTCCAGAACAAGCAACACCAACATATGGAGGAGAAAATGAGAATAGTGATTGCCTCCAGAGTAGGAGGCGATGAGTACTAACTGAGAAGGAACACAAGTGAACTTTCTAGAGCAATGGAAATGTCTGACACGTCGAAAGGGGTTTGGCTTACACAGGTGCAACCATTTGTCAAATGCATGAATGATACACCTAAGAATTTTACATTTTACTACATGTAAACTTTTGCTAAATTTAAAAACAACAAATATTTAACTGCAATTTGTGCTATATATGCTTAAGTACTTGGGGTAAAATATACTGAGATCTTCGACTTACTGTGAAATGCATCAGAAACTAAGATATACACTTGATAAAGCAAATATAACAAAGTATTGGAATCTAAGTGCTAAGTATATTTGTGTTCACTACACAATTCTTTCCCTATTTCTTATGCTTGAAACTTATCATAATCAAATTTCAGGGAGGGGAGAGGAAGCGAACAAAGATGCATTTGACTATTTCAGTAGGGAAGTTTCATCTGATCTCCAATCTTTAGTCTTACTTTCTTCCCTTTAGACCCTCACAACACCTGGGCACATCAGCTAAACAACCTATTATCTTACTTATGCCAACTCAATAAGCCACAGACTTGGACATCCTGGTTCTTTTTATCACTGACCTTGAACCAAGCCTAAATTTGATGCCTATTCACCAAAATTTTGACTTAGTTGATCAGAAGCGGATCCCACAAATCCACAAGAAAGTTAAGAATTGTAACTGGATTATTCCAGATACTTTGAGTTGAACACAATCACCAGATATGTGACTATGTATTACCTTTGTAATACCTTTACATGGGTTATCTCACATGAGGAAGATACTACTGTTGTAGATGAAGAAACTAAGGCAGAGAGATACATGGCTTAATATCATACAGCTATAAAATGGCAGCCATCCCACAGACACAAGCTATTTATTCTTCTTATCTCCATTTTACGGATAAGCTGATGTACATACAAATTATTCTGACCAAGATCACTCAGTTAGTAAGCAGCAGGCCTGTACCTGACATGACAATATCAATCAATTAAATCTCCCCAAACTCAGTTTTATTGTATACTCCTAATCTGTTCTGTATCAATGAGATTTTTTCATTATTTCATTATTACTGGTATCACAGTAAAGACAAAAAGGCCAAATATTTAGTGACTAACACACATTCCTTATAAATTTTGAGATCTAAGAGAAAGTGAAAGGCAAAACATACTTTTACTACCTCGTAATGCAAAACGGGTTACTTACAACACAGAGCTCTATTAACCTGAATGTTTAAGTGAATAAAAAATACCAATCCCTGCTAAATACCAGAAGTACCTGAAAGTAGCCTAATTCGTTTACATTCCACTAAAAATAAAATGTCTTCCATTTGACTTATCCCAAAAACCCATTAAAATACCCACAAATGTTCCATCCTTTACCAAAAGTTCTTATTCACTATATCTGAATTAAGAACTAGTCTAAACATTACTTGTCACCTGAAGCAAAAACAGCACTGAACACAAAATAAGAAAGCGTCTACCTAGAAACCTCTTCTACCTAGATTTAAAAAACATAGGGTAGGCAGAAAATTTGCGGCAGCCACCGTTTTGTACCACTTTCCTCGGATTTGTGAAGACTAACTCCAGTGTGGAACAGAACTAAGGACAGGAATTGGGTGAGGCATCCTGGGATACAAAGTTCGCAGTTGGCCAGAATGGACAGGGGGCCCAGAGAAGGGAGGAGGTGATAAAGAGTTCTGGAGTGAGACTTTCATAAAGCTCCTTACAGTATACCAACCAGTAAGAGGAAACAAAGTAAATTAATAAACTTTCACGCACTCCCAATGTCTTGATACAACAAAAGACACACAAAACACTTATCTTTCTGTAAGACAGTCAAAACTGAGCTACAGATCTAAACATCAACTTCAGCTAAAGATCTTAGGAATATATTCTTCATAAAAGTTGAAACTGAGGGGTGCCTGGGTGGCTCAGTCGGTTGGGCGGCCAACTACAGCTCAGGTCATGGTCTCGCGGTCTGTGGGTTTGAGCCCCGCGTTGGGCTCTGTGCTGACAGCTCAGAGCCTGGAGCCTGCTTCCGATTCTGTGTCTCCCTCTCTCTCTGCCCCTTCATTGCTTGCTCTCTGTCTCTCTCTCTCTCAAAAATAACAAAAATTAAAAAAAAAAAAAGTTGAAACTGAAGAGAAAGAAACAAAATTCACAAATCTGTTATCTGGCAAACACCACACCAAGATGTTTTCTTCATACAGGGATAAACTTTAAAAAGCTAGAGACACAAATTTTACTGAGAAATATAAAGCCTTGTCTAAAGAACAGGCTACATAAAGAGCTATACTAATCACATAGTAATTTCCTTATGTATACAAAGCAAGACAAATAACTCATTTTTTTAATGTTTTTTTTTTTAATTTTTTTATTTTTGAGAGAGAGACAGACAGAGCACGAGTGGGGTTGGAGCAGAGAGAGAGGGAGACACAGAATCCAAAGCAGGCTCCAGGCTCTGAGCTATTAGCACAGAGCCCTATGCAGGGCTCGAACCCACAAACTGTGAGATCATAACCCAAGCCCAAGTTGGACGCTTAACCGACTGAGTCACCCAGGTGCCCCAAAATAACCCATTTCTTAAAGGTAATTTAATCATGTCTAAATAAAGAGCTTTTATAACAATAGAAAATTGGTTTGCTTAAGAAAACTACAAAATTTTATGAGCTGAATCACGAATGGCATTCAAGACTTTTTCTTTCAAGACGGTAGATAGAATACATTAATACATTCCTTCCTTTCACAACACTGCAGCAGAACAAGTAGAACCCCAGAAAAAGACAAAACCTCAAGACCAGTACTGAGCCAAGACCCCAGCATAATGTCATATATCACAAGCGAGGCTCAGAGGCAGAACGTCCAAGCTGCCAAAGCAGTCATGGTTCCGGTGAGTCAGAGAGGCACAACTACAAAACTGCTAAACAGTAAAAGAGGAGATAAAGGAAATGGAAAAGAAAGACTGCCTACTCTGCATAGACTTGGAAAGCATATCAAGAGACAAGAAGGAAATTAATACTAACTCTTATAATTTCAATTAACACATGATTTTATAGTCAACAGAAACTGTTACAGAAGATCTCCTGTTTAAAAATCTAAAAACTCCTAAAAAAATAAAACTCATGCATCAATGAAGAAGTCACAAATGAAATTTTAATTGGAAACAAACAACAAGGGTGCTTGGGCGGCTCAGTTGGTTAAGTGTCCAACTCTTGATTTCAGCTCATGTCATGTAATCTCTCATGGTTGTTAGTGAGTTAGAGAAGAGAGGAGCTCTACCTGTGCCTGTGCTGATAACAAAACCTGTTTGGGTTGTTTTAGAAGCTCTCTTCTCTCTACACCCCCACCTACTTTTACTACCCCCTTCTTGCCTCACTCCTCTCCTCCTCTGGAATAAAACTTAAAAAAAAAGAAGAAGAAACAAAAAACAAATGAAAGTATTAGGTATCAAAACTTAAATGATTCAGTTAGGATGAAATTCACCTGTGAAAAGAATGGAAGAAGGCCTGCATTCAACCCAGAAGTAGTTAGGAAACAAACAGAGCAGCCTATAGAAATAAAGGCTAATTTAACCAATCTTTGATTAGTCCTTATCATTTCCAAACTTTCCGGTTCAGAATATAAGGAACTCTTCCTAATAAAAGAAATAATCCAATGAAAAAATGGATAAAGGAAGAAAACCCTAAATGACAAGAAACTCACAAAAAGAGGTCTCCCTCCCTAGTAAACACGAAATGCTAAATAAAACTCCAAAGGCATAACACTTCACACATATCATCTTGGCAAAAACGTAAAAATAAATAAATAAATAAAATCAAGTACTCTAAAGATAAAGCAGATCCACCCTACGGTATTCAAACTGCCTTCAGAGCAATAAGGCAACATTTACTATGTTTGAAGATGTGGATCCTCCCCGATAATCCAGCAACTCCATTCCCAGATAAACAGCCTAGAGAAAGTACTGCTTGTATGTGCTGAGGCAGAAGTGCATAAATACGGACTTCAGCATGTATTAGGATGTACAGAGTGGACTGTGGTATATTTTCATACTGGATAAATCTATAACAGTGAAATTAAACAACCTGGCAATATCTTTTACAACACCCACAAATTTCACAAATCATAGGAAAAAAATGGCAAATGAGAAGAACATGTAACAGTATTAATCCATTTATGTAAGTTTCAGAAACAGACAAAACCCAACCAAACAGTAACATTCCAAAGGTCGAAGAATTTCAGTTGTAATTCTCTTACTGAAAGGAATTATGGCTTTTTAATGGTACCCATAAAACACCAGGTTAGGTTTTCCGTGCCATCACAGTGAAGGTGGTTCAAAAAGCCCGCTAACTGAACACACACACACGCATGCACACTCACTTGGAAGGGACTATTTCAGTGGCAGATTATTCATTCCTGTGCTGGGTCTCCCCCAAGACCCACCCTTCCAGAACTCCCCTCACCACCACTACACCAAAGCTTTTAATAAACCTCAAGAATATAAGCATATAACCTACCTCTTCCTCTGGAGGTTTAGATGCAACAAAGCGTGTTCTCTCTCGTCTCATCTTGCCGCCTCCACTACCTACTCCAGAAGATAAACCATTGGCTGCAGACATACTGAAATTTGGGTAAGAAAAGCCACTAGGCAAAGAAAAAGAAAATTAAAACAAATGATATATTACTCTGGTCCATAACTTGTTAACTAACTGAACACCTAAAAATCAGAACTGCTAACAAGAAAATAAATATACAACTGAATGTGATTTTAAAAGCAGACAGAGGGGTGCCTTCGTGGCTCAGTCAGTTACGCGGCCAACTTCAGCTCAGGTCATGATCTCGTGGTTCTTGAGTTCGAGCCCCACGTCGGGCTCTGTGCTGACACCTCAGAGCCTGGAGCCTGCTTCTGATTCTGTGTCTCCCTCTTTCTCTGCCCCTCCCCTGCTTGCTCTCTGTCTCTCAAAAATAACAAACGTTAAAAAAAAAATTAATGAAAAAAAAAATAAATGCGGACAGATTTGTGTGTGTGTGTATAACGTTTGTTTTTTAACCTTCTTAATCTTCAAAAAAACATACATAAGTCAAACACAGACCTTACAAATGACATATAAAGAAGCTTAACTATGAAGACGCATTACCTTTCTCGTTGTTCTCTGTTTTGTCCTGGTGTCACAGGGTTCTCATATCCAGTCTAGAATAAGATGAGCACACCAGATTTACATGCCTGCTTATTTGTTTTCATTTTCTTAATACTTCCCTTCTGTCAATCCATTTTAATATTTGAAATCAGGAATTTGATGGGTTTTTAGTGAGTGAATCCTAAAACTTCCAACTTATACCCTGTTTCTGAACAGCAACTAAATTACAACATGACTATACACATAAAATGTCACTGAGCACACTGCCCTTTCAATAAAATAGTAGTACACAAAATTAATACACTTATAGACCACAAAAATACTTTTACTCTTCTCTCATTCTGGCCTATTAAAGGTGTAAGCAAATTTACAAGGATCTTCTTTGGGAAATGCATCCCTCTAATTTAAGTTCTTCCATTAAAAGAATATCATGGCTCCTTGGAGAACTAGCAAATCACAGGGCCGAGACCAGAAACTTACAGGACGAGCCTAGATTCTTTTACATCAAAAGCAACTAAATGTTCAAAAACTGAGGGGGGAGAAAAACCAAAAACAAAAAACTGAGAGGAAATATTAAAAGGACACAGGAGCCAGTTCAAAGGCCAAATGATAGAACATGAACATCAAAATAATGCCAATAAAGGATTATAAACTACAGAATGTGAGAATTAAAGTTGACTTTAAAAACACATTCAAAGATAGGTATGTAAATGAGATTAAAGAAAACTTTTCCTCCAGTAGGAGGTCAACTAATGTTGAAAGATAGGTGGAATTAGAAAACCACCCACTGGCAATCTACAAACAGGTTTAGGCAAAAATCACCAATAATACTAACTACTGAGAGGATATTTATCCTCTCGGTTATCTACCCACCAGATATTTATTAATTACAAAAGACAAAATCATCACTTCGCAGTGAAAAAATCTTACCGCTGCCACCTTAATTACCAAAAGCACATAATTAGAATCTAATCATGAGGAAACATCAGACATTCCCAAACTGCAGGACATTCTACACAGTAACTTACTTGCACTTTAGAAATCTCAATGTTAGGAAATACAAAAACAAACAAAAACCCTAAGGAACTGTTCTAGACTAAAGGAGATGAAGGGACAAGAAAACTAAAAAATGCAATACATAATCTTGAATTTTTTTCTTTTGGGGTAACTGGCAGCATCAAAATAAAATCTATAGATCAGATCACAGAATTGTATAATGTTAAGTTTCTGCTTTTGATAATTATTCTGCAATTATTACATTAAAGGAATTCCCTGTTTGTAGGAAACACACAGTAAAATTAGGACACAGTATATTGTGAAGTTTTAAAACTGTTCTTGCAGGGGCGCCTGGGTGGCGCAGTCGGTTAAGCGTCCGACTTCAGCCAGGTCACGATCTCGCGGTCTGTGAGTTCGAGCCCCGCGTCAGGCTCTGGGCTGATGGCTCGGAGCCTGGAGCCTGTTTCCGATTCTGTGTCTCCCTCTCTCTCTGCCCCTCCCCCGTTCATGCTCTGTCTCTCTCTGTCCCAAAAATAAATAAACGTTGGGAAAAAAAAAAAAATTTTTTTTTAAACTGTTCTTGCAAAGTCTATGAATCCAAAATTATATGTGAAATATTTTTAAAATTTTAATAAAGCAAGTATGACAAAATGTTAATGATTCGGTGAAACAAGGAGTAATGGCTAAACACTACTATTCTGTCAACTTTAGCTTGAAAATTTTTAATAAATTAGATTATGAAGATCAGATGAGATTAAATATAAGTAAATGCACAAGCAATGCATAAGATACCATGTAAATACAATAAATACAAAAAATACACTTTAGCTAAACAACACAAGAAAACAGACAACCCCAGAACATGGTGACATTTTAAGACAACTGGCCTGGTCTCTTCAAAAACCAATGTGCCTAGCAATTCCACTCCTAGGTACAGACCCCAGAAACACCGCAACATATGCCTACAAAACACCTGTACACCAAAGTTGAAAGCGGTATTATTCATTACAATCAAAAAGTAAAAGCAACCCAAATTTCCCTCAACTGATGAAAGGATAAACAAAATCTAGCATATCCAAACAATGAAATATTCAGCCACACAAAAAGGAGTAACGTTCTGATGTGCACTACAACACGGATGAACCTCGAAAACATGCTGAGTGACATAAACTAGACACTAAAAACCATACTCTATGATTCCATTTAAAGGAAATGCCCAGTACAAGCAAATCTATAGAGACACATCAGTGGTTGCTTAAGGCTGGAGAAGGAGGGGTGGGAATGAGATTTTGGGTGGTTGGGATGGTTATAAAAATGTTCTAGAGTTAACAGTGGTAATGACCAAACAACCCTGTGAATATGCTAAAAATCACTGTTCCACTGTAGTCTTCAATTAGGTATGTGAATTGCATCTCAATAAAGCAGTTGTTTTAAAAAAAAAAAACAAAAAACAATGTGGTAAGGGTCAAGGTTTGAGGTCAGAAAGAGAAAACGCAAAGCAATGTGTGATATTTGCTTGGATTCTGATTCAAAAAAGGAGCTGTAAACAACACTGGAATGTGGACTAGATATTACACAGTATTACATTAATTTCTTTGGATGTGGTAATATAGAAGTAATTAGGAAATGCATGCCAAAGTACTTAGGGATGAACAGATGTGTTATACAAAATTTTATTTTCAAATGGTTCAACAACAACACAAACAAAACACACCAATAAAGCAAGTCTGGCAAAATTATTTCATCTAAACCATGAGTACATACTAGTGTTACTTAGTAGTAAATACTAATTTACGATTTGATCACAGTGCCAGCCATTTGAAAGGCACACCAACTCATAACCATCACTAATACACAAACTTTATGTATTACCTAGTTGCTAGACTGCAATGGTGGACTACTCGTATATTATTTATTCTTACTCATTTTGATCAATATCCAAAGAATAGTGAAAATAGGGGCGCCTGGGTGGCTCAGTCGGTTGAGAGTCCAACTTCAGCTCAGGTCATGATCTCGTGGTCTGTGGGTTCGAGCCCCACATCGGTCTCTGTGCTGACAGCTGGGAGCCTGGAGCCTGCTTCGGATTCTGTGTCTCCCTCTCTTTCTGCCCCTCCCCCACTCACACCGTGTCTCTCTCCAACATATAAATGTTTAAAAAAAAAAAAAAGAATAGTGAAAATAAACACATACTCACATTGTGCTTTTTATCTATTCTTTGAGTAGTCTTCCTTAATTCACCAGATGGGGTCAGAGACGGTTTAAAATAAACAGTTCTATTTGTTGCTATGGAAACCGGCTTCGGGGTCATGAGTCTCTGAACGGGGGGATACTGAGAATCCACCTTATAGGTAATCAGAAATCATAGAAAAAACTTTTTTCATATATATTGGTGACACATATCTAAATGTTATCTGGCAATAGCTAATGTGAGCTAGAGACCATGAAAATGCCTAGAGAAATATCCAGTATATGCAAACAAATACTAAAAGGAAAAATGGATAGTAATAGAATAGTAATAGGTTTATATGTAAACCTGTATATAATAAAATTCCAAATAGCTTCAGACTATTTTTTTCTACACTTAATGACTTTTCATATAAGCAGAAAAATGGAAACTATATTCAAAACTGTTCTACAAATCTAAGTTTTCACATGTTGAATTTCAAATACAGAAACTAAAACTGATTTTGCCACATTTTCCCCAAATTACTCTCTAGATATCCTTCAGCTGGAAATAAGATTATTTTTAAACTAGCTATGAAAATAATTGCTAAAATTGTGAGCAAACCTCTCTCCAAGTTAATTTTCCCCTATTGTTATTTAAAAAAACCAAACTAAAAGTCTTAAAATTTATTAGTAAAACTGTGTTAAGAATTTGAAATCCTAGGGGCACCTGGGTGGCACAGTTAGTTAAGCAGCCAACTCTTGATTTCAGCTCAGGTCATGAGCTCACATTTTGTGAGATGAAGCCCTGCGTGGGGCTCTGGGCTGACAGTGCAGAGCCTGCTTGGGATTCTCTCTCTCTCTCTCTGACCCTCCTTCACACACGCGCACGCATGTGCTTATGTGCGCACTCTCTAAATAAACTTAAAAAAAAAAAAAAAAGAATTCCAAATCCTAAAATAAACTGGCATTATCATCTGAGCACACAAGTGTTTTGTCAACTGTCTTTTGCAACACGGAAACACAGTAAAAGTCCTGTTGGTGAAAAAGGACCATAAAGCCAAGAACTTGTACTCTGTCCAAAGACTGTAATACAATGAATACAGTCCTTTCTCTTAGCAGCAGCTGTGAACAACATTGGTTTCCAAGGCAAAGCTCCTGCATACTAGCTCTTCCCTAAATCCTCATCACAACTGTGATCTTATAACTCAATGACAGTCTATTCTGTAGACGGTTACATCTGTGAAACATGAACTACAATATTGTATTCTGGCCTTTATATATCTTCACAGCCATTAATAAAACTGTATTGATACTACACTTAAACATTAATAAAGACTTTTATCAATGAGAACTTGTATTATGGTACAATTTTTTAATTTACTTTTTAAACAATCTAATATAAAACAGGAGTGTGAGAAAAGCAGCCAATGCCATAAATTAATCCCATCGCCATGGCTGATAATGGATTCTCTCTTGCCTGATCACAAACATCTAGTTAATTCTAGATAGTGTTATGAAGTAACACTATCCCTCCCCAAACTCTCAATTTTAGCCTTCTTCTCTGCAGAATTTTAGTAAAAATAATTATAATTTACCAGTATCTCACACACAGTTCTCACAATGAATTCAGAAAATTATGATAATTTTAATCAGTGACTTCTGAGGGAAACTGGTGTTGTAGTAAAAGCTTTCACAAGTAAGGATCTGGGACTCTGCTTCTCCTGAAGGATACTTAACTAGCCACAAGTATAACTTACAAAAAATATACCTCTTTAACTCTATCAAGCATTTTAATTTTTCCACAGTAACCTCCAAAACTAATTTTAACCAAATAGAATACACTGAGAGGGTCATCAAGAAATTAGAATCTAAGTTATACTTTTTATTAGTTCCAGTATCTTGGAACACTATTTTGACTAATGAAATTCTATTACACACAACAGATTTGACATGTTAATGAGGAAAGTTTAAAAGAGGATTATGCTCAATGAGGGTTTAGTTCACTGAACTTCTATAATTACTAAACATATCAAGCATTGTCCACTCCTATTTTTATTTATCAAAAAGTCTGAGTCACTCATAGACTACCAAGACGCTGAAGATGGAAATGGCAAATAACCAAAAAGTACTGAGCACTTACTACATATATAGCGTTGTGCTAAGGCAGGCCCTCACAAGCCGCCACAATGTCCAAGGAAACAAATCTTATCTTTCAAACGTGTCCCCTAATGACTATCAAATTCAATTTATATATTTACTAACTAAAAAATAAATACAATAAAACTGCTGAAACTTTAAGTAAATAAAGGCAAAAGTTTTACCCTTTCCCTTTTGGCCTGAAAGTCTGAGGTTGTATCTATTCCACTCCTATCAAGAGACTGAAAAAGTAAAATGCCATTAGAATAGACTGGAAATTGAGAAAAACAGGACTTTCATCACCAATATATAAAAATGTAATCTCTTATAAAAGGTTTATAAGTCAACTTACAGAATTCAGGGGAGAAGAAACAACAGACGGGATTCTTTTTGCATCCTGTTAATGTTGAAACAATACCAAAATTAAAATTTTTCACAAAAGTCAAATGTTGTTATATACCTACATGTACTTGTGATTCTAAAAATTTACCGCGAGAGGGCTTGACATCTTCTCTAAAGTTTGCAATATCCGCCGAGCTGTGGAACTGGTCACACCATAGGACTGTGCACTCAGCTGCTTAGCTTTCATCTGCCTTCTGACGGGTGCCTATGAAGTAAACGTTGCATTACTGTTTTGGACCATAAACTCTAAAGCACAGATTTCAGGAAATAAAAGTATTTACAAAACAGAACAGATATCCAAAGAGAAATAGGATTAATGTCCTAACAGGAATTTATCTCTGGATGGTGTCATTATGCCTAAGTTCAACTTTTCTTCTTTATACCTTTTACTGAAAAGCCAGTTACTTTTACAATCAGAAACAAGAAAGCACACACCGCACTGAAGATCTGCAACTATGTTAAATGGGAAAAGGGAGATCACTGGTATAAAGTTCTGGCATTACTTTGATCCATTTATCCCTGATACTTAAATCAAAGAACACTTCTTGTTGAGTCACTATGTCGTCACTACGTCGTACACCTAGAGCTGATGTAACATCGTGCGTCAACTGTAATCCAACAAAAAATAAACATAAGTAAATCAAAGAACTAAATAAATGAGAACTATATTAAAATATTAGTTATTCTGGGTACTAATTAAATTCCAATATAACTAAATGAAGAGACTGTAGGCTCTATTGTAAAGGAAATTAGCATTTTTAAACTAATTTCTCAAATTTTGAAATAAGAAAAATTTTTAAATACTCAGGCTATTTCTTAATAACCTTTTAACTTTATTAAAATTGAAGTTAAGGAAAAAACCTTATAAAGAATAGACAAGTACCCTTTAATACATAAGCAATGTTTACAAATTCCAACTAAAACAGTTCCTTTTCTCAAAAATACATTACAACATTCCAATAACCAAATGACTACCACAAAGCAAGTTTGGTAATGCTTAATATAAAGATAGTATCACAATCGAAACACAACCCAATCTCTACAAATAGCTCACAATATCTGAAAACTTGAACCATAACTACTTTAAATGTTTCTCTGTCCGATACCAAACAATGATAACATTTCCAGAGTAGCTGCATGATTCTCCATTAGTTTTATTAAGAACTTGATGCCCATTAAGAATTGTTGTTCAAGCCAGAGGCTTGGGCAAACATGAGGCAACATTAGAATTCTCTAGGAAAATCTGATAGTCTGTCCTGTCACTGGATTCTACTGGCCACTGACCACTCAGGGCTTTAGTTTGCTAATCAACAAAATGGAATTGAATTACAGAATCTTTAATATACCTCCCCGCTCTAATACTCTAGGAAAGGAATTATTAGCTTTGTCCCAAACGTCAGCGATAAACACTTGGAAGCCTGTAATGAGACAGATTCTAAGGGTATGTCACAATTCACCATTAAAAAGTACAGGATTCAATGTAAGAAAGAAATGAAGAAAAGCAAGAATATACTGAGACTTGGACTATTCTATGAATCACAGGCTTGCATCATCTTATCTACTAACAGGCTGAACTATTATTTTAACTTTAAAAATTTTTTAAAGAATACGATCCAGTTTAAGCTTTAGAAAAAGCTCCCTGTGTAACTCCAACATCTAGTTAACATTTTCTTAAATAACAAAATACTGCCCTTCATGAACACACTCAGAAATAAAACTCATAATTACTGTTAACTACATACATGAAACCATCCTTTAATTAGGAAAACAAGAAACTAAAGACAAGACAGTCTTAAAATATACTTGTTTCTATGCCATTTCTATGTTTGTCATAGACTCATCTTCACAGATTCCCCTCTCCAAGAGTCTACTTACTGAAAGTATAATTACTCCTCCATCTTTGAAATGTCAAAATCTGTAAATGTAAGCACAACACCATATAGACAAAACAATTTCTTATGGGCTTCAAAGAACTCATAGGATAAAATACAGGATGGTGGGATTCACCTTAAATTTATTATCAATTTACAACTGTTCTTTGCTTATATGTAAATACAACTGATTTTGCATAATGACCTTGTATTCTGTAATCTTGCTGAACTCATTAAGTTCTGATAATTTTTTTGTATTTCTTAGGCCTTCCTATGTGGATAAGCATGTTGTCTATGAATAGGAGTAACACTTTCTTCCTTTGTGCAGTGGGTAGGCCCTGCAGTACAGCACTACACAGCAGCAATGCTAGCAGACAGCCTTGTTCTCTTCCTGGCCTTAGGAGAACAGTACTCTGTTTCTCACCATCAGTATGATGTTAGCTAAAGATTTTCTGTAGATACCATTTATCAGGTTGAGAAGATCCCCATTTATTCCTCAGGCTACAGGAAATTTTTATTATGAAAGGATGCTGAATTTTGTCAAATGTGTTTTATGCATCTATGGAGATAATCATACAGTTTCTATTCTTTAGTTTGTTTAAATGGTAGCTCACGTTAATTTTCAAATGTTGAACTAACCTTGCATTCCCAAGATAAACCCTACTTGATTATGAAATAGTAGCCTTTTTATATATGTCAGATTCTCTTTACAAATATTTATAGAGAAGGTTTGGGTCTGTAATGCCTAAGAAATATTAGTTTGTGGCTTTCTTGTAATGCCTTTGGTTGGTTTCAGTATCAGGGTAATACTGGCCCCATAATATGTTGGAAAGTGTACCCTCCTATTATACAAAAACATATGCATAAGATTGGTATTCTTTCTTTCTTAAATGTTTGGTAGAATTCACCAAGGAAGTTAAATGAGCCTGAAATTTTCTTTGCTGGAAGGTATTCTGACTATGTATTCAATTTATGGAACAGACTATTGGAGCTATTTTTTTTTTAATGTTTATTCATTCTTGAGAGACAGAGCATGAGTGGGGGTGGGGCAGAGAGGGAGAGGGGAAGACACAGAATCCGAAGCAGACTCCAGGCTCTGAGCTGTCAGCACAGAGCCTGATGTGGGGCTCGAACCACAAACCGTGAGACCATGACCTGAGCCGAAGTCGGACGCTCAACTGACTGAGCCACCCAGGTGCCCCACAGCCATTTATTCTTAATTAACACCAAATAACAAGAAATACTTAGGTATAAATCTAACAAAATATGTGCAAGGTCTGTGTGATGAATACTACAAAACACAGATGAAAGAAATTTCAGAAACTTAAATAGAGAGACATACTGTGTTCAAGGACTGGGAGATTCAATTTTATTAAGATGTATATTCTTCTCCCTAAATTGACCTTCAGACTCAATGCAATTCTAATCAAAATTCCAATAGATTGTAAAAACTGGTAACATGATTCTAAAATTATGAAAAAGTAAATGACTTAGGAAAGTCAAAACAAGCTTGAAAAAGAACAAAGTTGGAGGACTCACATTACCGATTTCAACACTTAGTATAAACTATAGTAATCAAAAGAATGTAGAGTTGGCCAAAGGATACATAGAAATGGAAAATAATAGCAAGTCAAGAAATAGAACCACATATATGGTCAAATGATTTTCAACAAAGATGCAAAGGCAATGCAATGTAGAAAGCACAACCTTTTCAACAAATGCTACTAAAAAAATTGGACATTCGTTATGTTAAAAAAAAAATGAATCTTGATCCCTCATGACATGATACATACCATATACAAAAGTTAACTCAAAATAAATCAGAAGCCTAAATTAAAACCTAAAACTGTGGGAGTGCCTGGATGGCTCAGTCGGTTAGGCTTCCACCTCTTGGTTTCGATTCAGGTCACAATCTCATAGTTCGTGAGTTCGAGCCGTGCATCAGGCTCTGCACTGACAGTGTGAAGCCCACTTGTGATTCTCTCTCTCCCTCTCTCTCTGCTCCTCCTATTCTGTCTCTCTCAAAATAAACAAACAAACTTAAAAAAAACAAAAAAACTATGGGGTGCCTGGGTGGTTCAGCCGGTTAAGCAAACAACTCTCAACCTCGGCTCAGGTCATGATCTCACAGTTCAGGAGTTCAAGCCTTGAGTCAGGGGGCTCTGTGCTGACAGAGAAGAGTGTGCTTGGGATTCTCTCTCCTTCTCTCTCTGCCTCTTCCCCACTCTCTCTCTCTCAAAAGAAGATAAACTTTAAAACCACAAAACAAAACAAAACCTAAAACTATAAATCCACTAGAAAACACAGAAGAACACTGTGACCCTAGGCTAGGCAAAAATGTCCTACATACTACACCAAATGCATGAGGCATATAAGGAAAAAACCCAATATACTGAATGCCATGAAGAGTAAAAACTTCTCTGTAAAAGACTTAAGCCAGAAAATGGGAGAAAACATTTGCAAAACACGTATGTAAAAAAGGACTTAATAAAGGTGTAGCATACTCTTAAAACTCATTAATAAGAAAGCGACCCTATTTAAAAATGGGCAGAAGATTTGAACAGATATTTCACCAAAGAAGACACATCTATGGCAAACAGGCACATGAAAAGATGCTCAATTTCACAAATAAAAGCCACAGTGGTGTGGAGATACCACAACATGCCTATTAGAATGGCTAAAATAAAACAATGAAAAACTGATGACAAGTGCTGGCAAGAACACTCTTCCATTACTTTGCTGAGAAAACAGCATTACTTTGCTGTGGAAAACAGTTTGGCAATTTATTAGAAAGTTAAATGTATACTTACTATAAGACCCAGCAGCCAACTTCTGGGTGTTTACCCAAGAGAAATGGAAATTAATGTTCACATAACACGCTTAAAACCACTTATTCACAACTGCTCCAAAACACATCAAACCCAAGTGTCCTTTCGGTAGTGAATGGATAGGATAAACAAGTTACAACTCGACAATAAAAGGAACTACTGATATGTGCAAAAATAAAGATCCATTCCAGATGCATTATGCTAAGTACAAGAGGCCAGATTCAAAGGCTAGATGCTATATTGATTAAATTTAAATGACATTCTGGAAAAATCAAAACTACAGGGAAAGAAAGCAGATCAGTGGTTGCCAGAGGGTAGAGGTAGGAAGAGGGGTTGACAACAGAGAGGCACAAGGTAACAATTTGCTGTGATGGAAATGTTTATTCAATACTTTGATTGCAGAGTGCATACACAACTGTATGTATTCTGTTAAAATGCAAATACTCTAAGAAGGGTAAATTTTACTATACATAATTTACACCTCAATTTTTTTAAAAAAGGAATTAATCATCACACTTCCTAAAACACAGACGCACATAACATGCTCACAAATGTAATGAATAAATATTCACTTAAGTCTAATACAACGTTCAGATAGTCCCTAAATGAAAACGGTATCATTTTACCAAAAAATAACCAAACCAAAACTCCATTGGAGTGCCGTTAATTACTTGACAATTTTTAACGTTATCAGTCCTTCTCCTATTCAAACCAACCTGATACGGTGTGTTTCGGAGTTTCAGTTGTCTTGCAGCAGCTGCTGCCCCACCGTACATTGTTTTTCCAGGATAAAAAGGAGAATCTCCAAGCTGACTTGTTTTAAGGATTGAAGAATTCCCAAGTGACTGCACAGAAACAAAATGATAAATTATGAGCAATAAATACTCAAAACAAATGTGATTGAATCCAATCTTACTAGTACTCACAGGGGAAAGTGTTCCAAAGGCAGACAAGTTGAATGCTGGTTTTTTTGAGCTGGTGGCAGTGTGCTGTGAGAGTGAATGAGTACGTTCAGCCTCTGGGGACCACAGAGGTGGCACTGAAGTGTTCTTTGTAACAGTTATATCTGAAACAAAAATATGTAATGCATAGTTAGAGCACTAATTACAAGGCCCTCAATTTTTATAAACAGAAAATGAAAATTACAAGTAAGAAAAAACCTATCCCATGAAATTTAACTTTACTACCAAACACCAAGAATACCTTTATCAGAAGCTCTTGAAGAAAAACCACTGGTAGTTGAGATGTTATCATCATCATGTTGAGAGGTAGAATCTTTAATTTCCTTTACAAGGGAAAATCCAGAACTGCCAATTGGGAATGCCGAGGATGTGGAGGGCTGACAGTGTAGTGCAGGAGATTCCAACACGGAGAAATTCATATGGCTCCGATGAAGAGAAGGCCTTGTTAATACATCTGGGTAATTTGAAGAAGTACTAGTTGTTGAGGGTTCTTTAAAGAGTTAAAAAAAAAAAAAAAAAAAAAGGCATTAGTATTAGGAATATACAGCTTAGAAAAAGCAATACAATATCACAACAAAATGGTTTTTAAGAAAACATACTATATAACATCGCTTCAATTCAAGCCACTGAAGCCTCCCATAAGCTCAGTTTAAGCTATTCTTTACTCAAAAAAGGTTTCATCTAGCTGCAATGAATTTACTTAACCTCGTATCAAACTATGTATGTTTCAGGGATCACATGCAATTTCTGAAAGTGCATGGCTCTTTATTGATATTGATGCTTCAATTGCTACTATAAAACCCGCTCATAAAGAGTAAAAGAAGCTATAGAAGTCATAGCAACCACTATTAAAATTGTAGATCTCCCAGATATTTTATATACAGACATAAATCGTTTCTCTAATTATATAATCATGCTATGCATCCAGTTCTATGACCTGCTTTTTCATTTACCAATTTTGTCTCTACATACAGCGCATTCCCTTTGAAGACCACATTGTATGTTATCATGCTAATTGACGCGAATTATTTTGTGATTATTTTCCCAATGTTCCATCGAACATATATGCACTGATATCTGCATACTCTTAAGAGTATTCTTTTGGATTAATCCATGGTTCTCTAAGAATAGAAGCACAAAGAGAAATAATTTAAAAAATACTTTTAAGCTTCCCACAAAAATATCTGATTCTGTAAGTCTGAAGTTAGGCCCATAAGAGAATCAATGGGATAAACAATTATATGGAATTGCTCTGCAGGACTCAATCAGAGAGTATGCTCATTTTTGCTTATGAAACATACCGCAATCCTATCAGTTATACTCCCACAAATAGCAAATGACAATGTACATTTCCACCATAGTCTCTAACACTGGATATTAACCTTTTCTGATTTCTATCAATCTATCAAATGGCACCATTATTTTATTTGCATTTATTTAAATGAGAGGGATAGTGCGTCCTTCCCTATACTCATTGTTCATTTACACTTCTATTAATTGCTTACTGATATAGTAATTTTTTAATGTTTATTTATTTTGAGAGCGTGCACACCAGTGGGGGAGGAGCAGAAAAAGAGGAGACAGACAATCCCAAGCAGGCTCTGTGCTGTCAGCACAAAGCCCAATGTGGAGCTCAAACCCATGACCTGTTAGATTATGACTTGAGCTAAAATCAAGAGTTGGATACTTAACCAACTGAGCCACCCAGGCGCCCCAATAAAATCTAATCTTTGATCAGTAAGATACTGCAATATGACCTGAAATATTACAACTATTTTTCACTGTTGGCTGAACCTATTCATTTTGTTGACGCTATTTTTTGCAGTACAGAAAATAATTTGTTTACAAGGTTTGTATACCTTGTAACCTTTGTTCACTTTTGTAAACTTTGTTTACAAAGGCATTTACCATTCCAAGACTATAAGAAATAGAAAATTTTACTGATTTTTTGGTACTGCACTGTTACTTTTATTTCAATATAATATTTAATCTTGAATCCATCTGGAGTCAGTTATGATATAGTAGTGAAGGAAAGATTCAGCTTCATTGTTTCCCAAATGGTTAGTCTGTTTACATTCTAAAATAACCTTCGTTTTTTTTGTTGCTGTTTATTTTTGAGAGAGAGAGAGACAGAGAGAGAGGGCGTGCGCGTGCAGGGGAGAGGCAAAGAGAGAGGGAGACAGAATCTGAAGCAGGCTCCAGGCTCCAAACTGTCAGCACAGAGCCCAATGCGGGGCTTGAACTCACAAGCCATTAGATCATGACCTAAGCCGAAGTCAGACACTTAACCTACTGAGCCACCCCTAAAATAACCTTAAATAAGCTACCTTATAATCACGGAGAAGCCACCACTACCACATACTAAATCCCGAAAGGCTTTTCACCCTCTTCCCCAGTGATGTATCTGTACAATAATGTTTTACCCACTACAACTTTAGAACACATTTAGTAACTGTAAAAGTTACTCCAACCCACCCCCACATTCCCCTTATTCTTTTTCAGAATTTCTCTACTCATCTTCAGGTGTATTTTCAAAAACCCTTAAAATCATTTGTCAAATTTCCAAGACTCTCAATTAGGCTGGAATGTCTGGGCCTCCAGACTAGTGCTTCTAATTTAAATAATTATAAAACTGAACAGAATAGGAGATATCTTTCAAACAACAGAAAACGGCACAAGAAAACTCAAAAAGTGAGCCCTATCACTACCCAGCTCTCTACCTAGGTATGTTTTCGGACCTGGAAGAAAGAGCTGGAGTCCAAGCAGAACACAGCAGGCAGAAATCAGAATTAAGGGCACTGGACAGTAGAAAACTGCAGGGAAGGGCCTCCAGAAGTCCACATGGGTGTGTCCAGACAGTGAATGGGCTTTCCATGCACAGAGTGAGAACATATAAGGCTTACCAAGTATGAGCTACTACAGAGTTGAGGAAACAAGTCACTAGGAAGTGAGCAATGCTAGGGGGCAAGAAGCAGTGTTGAGGACACAGGAGCCACAGGGTTGCCAGAACTTAGAGATCCCATAAACACCTCCTTAAATCCCTGGCATTCAACCGAGATGTTGGAAAAGCTTCCCCTTGAGACAAAGGATCATGTCCTAGAACAACATGTCCTATGTTCTAGGACATAGGTTTAGACTCAACCTAAAAAGCCACAAGAGAAACAATTTGCAGACTAAGTCCTATCACTTTAGGGAATTTAAGAAATCTTGGACCCTCCACAGATGCACAATTAACAAAACATAAAACTAAGTTTACAAAGTTCAAAATGACCAGTAACAACTGCCTGCTCAAACAACAATCAATACTCCTCAGTGGAAGATAACAGCATCCCAAATCTCTACATGTATTTTTCAAAATGACATATATAAGAAAAATGTGATCAACAGTGCAGAAAAAAGTCAACTGGAATTAAACATGAGATAGATGATGCAATTAAAGGCTTTAAAAATAAGTATTTTAGCTATGTTCAAAGTTCCTAACAGACTCATTAAAATGATTTGATTTGGATCACACTGAAGTTAAAAGATTTTAAAAAGGAAGGGATACCATGCCCAGCATTGTTTTCCTACTGACTTTTTTCGTTCAGCTCTCCTTTATGTTCCTCAGCGGAACAAAAGAATTTCTTCTAGAGTGCCATACACTTCTGAAGTTTATTTCTAGGTTTTTGTTGTTTGATATTATAAGTAGGATTCTTTCTTCCTTCATACTTTCCGTTTACTGCTTAAATAAGTTACTGGGGTTTTGTTTTTGTTTTTCTATATTAACTTTGTGACTAATTTCTACAAATCTCTTATTCTAATCAGTTGTTTGGTTTTTTTCCCATCAACTGGCTCTCTTGGGTTTTCTGGGTATTATTTTGCTTCCTTCTTACCAATACTTACATGTATACATACATCCTCTTACCTAATTACATCTTTAACATCCAGAAGTGGTGATGATGGGATTCCATTTTATACCTGACTTTAATGGGAATGTTTCTAATGCTTCACCATTACACATGATTCTGGCCTTTGGATGACTAACATGTTAAGCAAGCTCTAAATGAAATAAACAATTCTAAATAAAATACATAGCAAATACCTATTAATTATCTACCAGAAAGAAAATAATTACAAGACTTCCACTATATAAATATGCTAACTTATATTAATAATTCCCTCATGATAAATGATTCCTTATATCCCAAGATTAACTCTCCCTAGTGAGTAAGAAGATTCTATTTTTTAACGTGCTGCTGGATTGTATTTGATGCTCTGTAATTTTCTTCCTCAAAGTCTGTCTTCAAAAATACTTAAGAGCATAAGCAATAGAAAACAATTCCAGATTATTTAGTTTCAAAGTACTATTATACAAAAAATAAGATTCAGATAAAAACACTTAACTAGAACTGGAAAGAAACACCAACATAATAAAAGTCATATATGAAAAACTCACAGGTAACATCAAACCCAATGGTGAAAGACAGATTTTCCTCTAACATCAAGAACAAGACAGGGATACCTGCTTTCCCCACTTTTATTTAACCCAGTATTGCAAGCTCTAGCCAGAACAGTTAAGGCAAGAAGAAAGGCATCCAAAGTTGGAAAGGAAGAAATAAAATAGCTCTATTTACAAATGATATACCTTGTAAGTAGAAACCCCTAAATATTACACACACACACACACACACACACACACACACACACACACACACACACACTCATTGGATTAAATTAATTCAGCAAAGTAGGAGGTTACAAAATAAGCACACAAAAATGAGCTGGGTTTCTATACACTAACAATGCACATTTTGGAAAGCAAATTAAGGAAACAATTCCATTAACAGCATCAGAAAAAAACAAAACACTTAGAAATTAACCAAGAAAATGAAAGACTTGAACAATGAGAACTATAAAACACCACCAAAAGAAATTTAAGAAGACATAAATGGAAAGACATCCCAGGGGGCTTGGCTGGCTCAATGGGTCCAACTTCAGATTTCAGCTCACCTCATGATCTCATGGTTCAGGAGATCGAGCCCCATGTCAGACTCCACGCTGTCAGCATGGGATTCTCTCTCCTCTCTGTCTCTGCCCCTCCCTTGCTCATGCTCACATGCACACGCTCTCTCAAAATAAATAAACTTAAAAAAAAAATGTCTTCAGTAAGGTGGGTGGTTTCAGGATCACCATACAAAAACCAACAGCTTTCCTCTAAATCAGCAACAGTTGGACAAATGGCATTTGTATTTTCTATTTCTAATTTGTATTTTACAATAGCAACAGAACCTGTAAAAAGAACAGAACAGACTTATTTAATACCTGTTCCTGAGTGAGAATATTCTTCCTCCCAGCACCCCCCAATATAATTTCAATCTGTTCAGTTGAAGTGTAGTTGACACACAGTTCCAAGTGTACAACTTAGTGATTCCACAGCTCTGTATGTTACCACGACGAGCATGCTTGGGATTCTCTCTTTCCCTCTCTCTTTGCCCCTCCCCTGCTTGTGCT